TGCAAGAGCGCAGTTATCATCTCTAAGAAGCAGAATTTAAGAATTTGACAATGGCACGAGCAAAAGCAATAGATGCTCAAAAAATAGAAATGCAATCCATTATTGATGCATATGAAATTTTGATGGAAATACATGAACCAGGAATTGATTATGAAAACATCGATGATATGAGTACAGCTTATAGCATCCTGGATAATTATCTAATTAAATTTATGCAACATTACAATGATTATCAAAACTTAAAGAAGGATCATGTTGATCTAGACAGTGAATTTTTTCAACGTTCAAAAAGCAAATAACATCGAAGCATCTAGGTTTTAAATTTTTGTTTAATAAAATAAAAGCAAAATCAGAAAGACAGTTCGATGTTACAATTCGAGAAAATGAAGATCGACGCCATCAAATAAGAAACGTCAAGTTACCAGAAATCAAATTGCCAGAATTTGATGGAAGTCTCGACAAATGGTTAACTATTCCGTGATACTTTCGTTTCATTAGTACACATGAATTCATCATTCTCTAACATCGACAAGTTTCATTATTTGAAAAATTCTATAAAGATAGAACCTGCATCTCAAAACATCCTCAATAATTATCAAGTGACAGATGGCACGTATGAAAATGCTTGGGAAGCATTATGTTTGAGATTTGATGATCGTAGAGCAATGTTATTAGAATATACAGATTCATTGTTCAAAGTTGAGAAAATTTACAAGACTCAAGAGATATTAAAGTTGGTGGATTCATACGTCAGCATAAGGTCATCGTTTGTAAAACTGAATGTAACTGATCATGAGTTTATGGATTTGATGTACGAAAATATGATCAGAGATAGACTTGATAAATTTACCAGAAGAGAATGGGACTTGCACATTAATAATCATAAACCAACATTTCATGAGTTATGTAAATTTTTGGAAGGAAGACATAAGTCAGTAAAATTTACGGCTAGTGAATTATCAATTCCAACATCTTCGAAATATCAACAAGAGAATAATCAAAATAGGAAAACTTTCTTGTCAAACAACAAACCTGTTAGCCTTGTATGCTCAATTTGTTCACAAAATCACTTGAACAGTAACTGTCCATCATTTCTCAGAGAGATCATTGACAAAAGATTTGAAATAGTTTCGAAGCTCAAACTAGGTATGAATTGTTTAAGACCTGGACATATTGCAAAGAAATGCATAAGTTCAAAAAATTACAATGCATGTGGAAATAGACATCATACGACACTTCATCGAGTTAAAGCATCAGACGAAGAAGCTTTCGAAAAACCATCAACAAGCAGTTCATCAGACAAAAGATTAGTGATAAACAATAAAGCATTACTGTCATCAACTCAAACTGTACTATCAACAGTAAAAATATTGATTTGTGACAAAGAAGGTAAATGGCAAGTCATAAAAGCTGTTATGGATTCTGGTAGCAATGGACATGTCATCACAGAAGCAACAGCAAAACGACTGGGCTTATCTCTTAGAAAAATTAATAAAGAAATAAAGGGAATCAATAATATTCCTACTGATGTAAAATACGAAGCTGTCGCAACGATTAAGTCAAGATATCCAAGATATGGTAATTTCAAAAATACCATAACTCTCGATATTTTTCCTGTAATTACAGATCAGTTACCTACTCATTATTTTGAAACTAAGAAGTTTCAAATACCCAATGAAATTTTTATGGCTGATCCAGAATTTAAAGTTCCAAGTGATATTGACATGTTGATTGGTTGCAAGATATTTTGGGATGCTCTATTGAAAGACAGACATCAAATATCTAACAATGGATTATTAATTCATACAAAGTTTGGATGGATTGTTTTGGGATTTTAAATCACTTGAAGGTGAAAATTTGTATGGAATTTCTTTTTTTATTAACACGTTTCAAGAAAAAAAAGTTATCTGCACTTTATACGATAAAAATCATCTGCATTATACCTTTTTTAAAGCAACAGCATTTCATCTGCATTTTAGGGAAAATAAATTTCATCTGCACTTTAGCAGTACCATCTGCATCTTGGCAGTACTATCTGCATATTAGGGTAGCTGCATTTTAGGGATTTCTAGATTGAGGTGATAAACAGACAGAACAGAAAGCAAGTTAAGAAAAACGTGGTAAAAATGAGTTATACATAATTCTTCTCGAACTTGAAATTATGAAATTTTTCAATACTTTAATTTCACTAAACTTACGCTTTACGAAAACCAGCTTAACATATTCATTTACTATTACATTTTCATTAACAACATTCTAATCAAAAAATATGTAGTTAATTTGAGTAAAATTTTATTTTTTTAAAATCATTTTTTAACGGATTAGGAAAATAAACGCTTTTGCGTTGCACTTGTACAGAAATTGAATTAAAGTTCTTCATTCTTGTGCTGAATAAGTGCTTTATAAGGTAAATTAAGTATGCACAATAATAAAACAGCATATTTGCAACGAAACGTAAATCAATAATTTGAAGTGGTTTGAAGTTGTCTAGACGTTTAGAAAGTAGAAAACCTTTGGTAAAAGTTCAAAATTTTGCATTCTGTACAAGTGCAACGCTTACAAAAAGTCAAATATTTTGTAATTTAAAGCATGTAGAAGGAACCAACCGCAACAAAAGGATATAATTTATCGTCATACATAAGTATATTTGGTGCTAAGAACGACTAGATAGCTTAATAAAGATAAATAATGTTTCATTGACGAATTTTTTGAAAACGTCAATCGATAGAATTGTCCATAATTTTATAGATAGAATTGTTATTAGTCTTGTCAATAACATACTCAAAAAAAGTTAAATCCGAGGATTAATTTTCTGCAATTCGAGTTTTTAATCTCTATATACATTAGTATATAGGTTTTAAAAAACTGCACGTGCAGTTTTTAACACCTATATACAAATGTATATAGAGATTAAAAACTCTAGATGCAGAAAATTTAGGTTTTATGGGTTTTATAAATTTGAAATGTTTAGAGGTAAAAAACTTTAGGTGTTTTGAACGGTCATTGTTTTCCGAGAGTATTCCGAGAGAAACAGAGATGAAGTTAGAATTTTTCGAGACCTCTTAGTTTCTGAGATCTGGAGATGCCTAAACTCGTCTAATATCCATTTGTACTGCTGACAGGACTTTTTCAAAAATGATCCAAATTTCATAAATTATATATTAAAACTTATCTCCTTTTTCCGAGAGAAATGGGGTGTAAAAAATTTTTGCAATCAGACTTTTAAATTTTGAGTTATGGCACTTCCAATTTTTTTAGACCAGTTTTAAGTGGATCTTACATATCAACTTTTCGAGATTAACTTTAATAATACAAACTATACATTAAATTACATCTACTTTTTCCGAGAGAAAACAAGATGCAAAAATTATTTTAATTTTATCATTCTCTCTTGAGATATAGGCTTTCAAACCTTTCGACGAGTTTAGATTTTGGGCACAAAAGGTCAACTTTTTGATACACATAGTAATTAAACATATTATATATAACTTTGCGACACGTATTTCTTATGAAAAAAAAAAACAATAAACTGATAAAGTTTCAGAATTTTTCAATAAATTTTCACGATTTTTTCTAACCTGAAATTTTCTTTATAAATTCCTGGCTTTAGATGCTGATAACTCAAATATTAGAAGTCAAAAAAAAAATATTTTTACTTCTCGTATTTTCTCGGAAAAAGTACATGTATTTTAATAAAACATATGTTTAATTACTTTATGTATCTAAAAGTTGACCATTTAGAAAATTTAAACTCGTCGAAAGATTTAAAAGACCATTTCTCAAGAGAGAATGATAAAATTAAAATAATTTTTGCATCTTGTTTTCTCTCGGAAAAAGTAGATGTAAATTAATATATAATTTGTATTATTATAGTTATTCTCGGAAAGTTGATATGTAAAATCCAATTAAAACTTGTCTAAAAAAATTGGAAGTGCCAAATCTCAAAATCTAAAAATCTGATTGCAAAAATTTTTTGGTCTTCATTTCTCTCGGAAAAAGTAGATATGTTTTAATATATAATTTATGAAATTTGGATAATTTTTGAAAAAGTCCTGTCAGCAGTACAAATGGATATTAGACGAGTTTGGGCATCTCCATATCTCAGAAACTATGAGGTCTCGCAAAATTCTAACTTCATCTCGATTTCTCTCGGAAAACTGATAAAGTTTCAGATGTCCATTCGACATTATCCATTTGTACTTCTCACACAACCAGTATGTTGCACAATTATATTGATCGCTAACTCTACAGAAGTATTTAGTTCAGTATTCATTTAAAAAATCTACAATAAATAAGGTAGAGTTGCAATCTTCATATTAATGGAACGCTTTAACGTAGCTGTTTTCAATATGACATTTAGTCTTAGGGGCCATTCACTTATTACGTAACGCTTTTAGGGGGGGGGGGTCTAAGATTTTGTTACGGTTCAAACAAGGAAATTTTTTTTTCATACAAATTTTGTTACGAGGGGGGGGGGGTCTAAAAAGTCATTTTTTCGCGTTACGTAATAAGTGAACAACCCCTTAGATTATGGTTGTTCGTTTATTTCGCAACGCTTGTGGGGAAGGGCTTTTTAAATAGCATTTAATTATGGTAGGCAGGCTCGGTATTTTCTTCAAAAACTGAAACCTTAATACAAAGATCCAGTTTAATCTAAATCACATAGTCCGCAATAAAAAGATTTTAATAGCACAACACCCAGCCAGTCATATTGAACAAATTAGCATGTTGTTCCTTAGAAAAATATGCTATAAAAGCAAAATATCTGGTTTACTTAATTTAACGTTTTTATAAAATTCAAAATTGTGCAAAAAGGCTGTTCATAAATAACGTTCATAAAAAAATATTTTACTATATTGATATTTTTAAACCCCCTCCCCTTATTTTACACAAAATTTGTATCAAGAAAGGTCCATTTTTGTTTGAATCGTCACAAAACTCCAGAAACCTTCCCCTCCTCACCTAATGTTGGACGAAATTTATGAATAGCCCCTCATGTAAGAAAATATAAAATCCACGTAAATATTAAAGGGAAAAATATAGCAAAATTAAAGAATATTGAGTAATTAAGCCGAAATTGGATAGAACTGTCATGTGAAATCAATCCTAGATTATCAACTTACGAAAGTCTCTTGGAGATAGCACGGAATTTAACCATTTGATAATAGAAAATCATCAAAAAAAATCTTTCAAAATTAATATATTTTTCATCAGCATTTCAAATCTATTATCAGGAGTAATCATGAGATATTCTTTGGTATTCTTGGCGTCTGCTGTTCTTTCCGGAGCAGTTATAGCCAATGCTGTGATCCAGAAGAAACAATTTTATCCTTCTGTAGTATACATTTCAAAAAGTAATCCAAGTATGGCAGTAAGTATTACTTCCTCTGACGTATATCCATCGATAATATAATTCAATTCATGCATTCGTTGCAGGTCATCTATTTTCAATCGTTGATTTTAGTTTTAATGCTGGGAAAATTAATGAGAAAAGTGAGTTGTTGATATAGCACTTAATCATTACTATTTTGTCACTTCTGGATCTCGTCTGTAGATTTTCCTGGGAACTCTGAGAGCTGCTGAATTCGAGCATTTAATGGAGCGATTTTGGTATGCGCTCACAGAAACATGTTTAGCTTTTACAGTCTTTAGAGATGATTTCAATCCAAAGTTTATTGCCCTATTCACTGTTTTACTATTTCTCAAGTCATTTCATTGGCTTGCGGAAGATAGAGTTGACTATGTAAGTCGTTAATCCTTAATTCTTCTTAATTAATTGATTAAAAATAAACTTTACTAATTACAGATGGAACGTAGCCCTGTGATAGGCTGGATTTTTCATTTGAGAGTTGCTGGCCTTTTGAGTGTATTGGGAATTTTGGACTATATGCTAATTTTGTATGCTTATCAATCAACTTTGGCAAAAGGTGCAACAGTACAACTAGTTTTTGGTTTTGAATATGCAATACTTATTACGATGGTTGCGAATACAATGATCAAATATGTACTACATGCTGCTGAATTGCGATCCGAATCGCCTTGGGAAAATAAAGCAGTCTTCTTGCTGTACACTGAACTCGTCGTTGGACTCATTCGAGTCATCCTTTACATTGTGTTTGTATTCCTAATGGTTAAGATATATACTTTACCGTTGTTTGCATTCAGACCAATGTACTACACAATCAGGTATGTCTAATTGCCATATATTTATGTCTAATTACAAAATTATTTATGTATAGGGTTGGTATAGGGCCTCGACGATTTTTTTAAGATTTTTGCTCAAACGAAAAAAATGTTTTGAATTTTACATTAGTTTTATTTTAATTTCCACACGTCTAATTACACAATATTAACTATCAAATACCATTACAGAAATTTCAAAAAAGCATTAAATGACGTGATTCTTTCACGACGTGCTATTCACAACATGAATACACTTTATCCAGATGCAACTTCTGAGGAATTGGCATTGTCTGACAACATTTGCATCATTTGTCGGTATGTAATTCATTGATTATGGTCCTTAGTGATTACCATTAATGTTTTGTGAATTAATTTATAGTGAGGATATGGTTAACAGTTCGAAGAAATTGCCCTGTGGTCATATTTTTCACACTGTGTGCTTAAGATCTTGGTTCCAACGTCAACAAACGTGTCCAACATGTCGTTTGAATATCTTGCGCACTCCCATTACCTCTACACAGCCTGTTCAAGCTGTTAATAATGCAAATAATAATACTAGAGCAGAACAACAGCAAAATCAGGCACAGCAACCACAACAGCCGATAATTGCTCCAAATCCTTTCCTTAATTTTATGAATCAAGCTGCAATGAACAACAATAATCAGCCACAATCATCTTCAGGAATTCCTCATTCACCTTTTATTCCATCAACTTCAGCAGGACCTAATATTCCTATGCCACCACCATTTTTCCTTCCGCCTTTTATGGCACCTTATACAATTCCACCTCCCCCAATGCCACAAAACTTGGATCAATTGACAATCGACGAGTTAAGAGCAATGGAAGGAAATGAACGTGGTCATGTTGAGGAAAGACTTAAATTACTAAAAAATATTAATACAATGATAAACGCATCAATCACCCTAATGAATCAGTATCAAATGGTCATAACAAATCTTCCACCAGTTCCAACAACAACAACAACAACATCTAGCACTGAATTGCCTACAAAGAGTGAGAAAGAAGCATCTCCGTCAACGACTAATAATAAGACAGAGGATAAGGAAAAGATTGACATCACTAAAGTTAAAGTAGAAGATTTGGGAAGTGAGCTACATCTTGATCAACCAAAAACAATGTCATCTATAGATTCGGATAGTAGTCCATCAACATCTTCAATAATAATAGATAGTCCATCGTCGTCATCTGCAACATTTATTGCGAATGAGACATCCAACAATACAAATGGCGAACCAGATGAAACAAATGAAATTAGAAAGCGTCGATTACAGAAATTTTTACCCAATTAAACTTTTTTATCAAGCAACTACATATAAATTAGTAAATTTATTAAAAAATTGATGATCGTGTGCTATCTATTCAAAAATTCTATGAAAGACATGAATGGATAGTGACCGACAACAAAACAGATTGATGTGTAATTAATGGCAAAGATTTATACCTATCTAAAGTGAAATTGCTTAATAAAAATGTAAATATATATTAATTCACCGTCTGATTTGATTCTGACCAGATATAAAGGAATTGCATGACTAGATCTTTCAGTTGTTGTTAATTGTTTGTAGATGTATGTGTAAATTTCTATAAAAGTATTGGCGCGGGGTTTGAATCTCAAAAAATAACGGTAAACATTTCAAATCTGAGAAGTATTTAGCCCCTCTCAGATCAATTTGTTGATTCTTACTTCTGACAAGCTTAACATACACAGCAATCAATATACTCGTAATATTTAACTCATTGCACAATCAGAGATCTGATAGAGCAAGATCAGCTAGAAAAAAGTCTACAAAATATCTGTAGAGTCAAGTTGCATGCCCATATCTTGTGCGTTACTTCCGTGCTGAACCAAGAGAAATACCATAAATATTGAGAAAGTGAGTAAAGGAATTCGATTGGGGCCGTTCACTTATTACGTTACGCAAAAAAACGACTTTTTCACCCCCCCCTTGTTACAATATGTTACAACTCACAACCCCCCCCCCCCCCCTGAACGTTCATAATTTATTTTATTTTGATAATTTTTCATAAATCATTAAAAAGGTGGAAAATTTTAAAAAAATGTTTTTGGTGAGAATTTGTAAACAAATTTTTTTCGTATTTTTAAAAGATAGATGACAGTAAGAACGTTACATACTTCTTGACACCCCCCCCCCCCCCCCCCCCATTGTTACATTTTGTTACAATTTTTCAACCCCCCCTCCCCCCTAAAATGCGAACGTAATAAGTGAACGGCCCCTTGGAAGTTGAAAGTTTGTAGACTTGAAGTTTGTCGAGTTAAAATGCTGCACGGAAGTCAGATGTGTTGATCAGTCATGTTTTTTTGAAATGTAAGAAAAATACTTAAAATGTTTAATTATTTAAAAATTTCATTAGGAAACACTAAGTAAATCGTTAGGAGCAAAGTGAAGTTTATGCTTTTATGTGTAGTGTTTATGTCTTCAAAAAAGTATTCATTAAAAATCAGTAATCTAAGGAAAAATATTAAAAAAATAATTCAGTAAAGAAGAAAAAAAAAGAAAAATTGTGAAAAAAAGAAATGGCTTTAAGTAATAAGACTGCCTTTTCTAAGAGGGCTGAACAATTGAAACGATATGAAGATTCGGAAACGAATCGTGAACCGGTAGTGCCAAAGAATCCAAAGGATAGAAAAGTGAGATTTTCAGCTGGATGTATATTCTTAGCGGCTTGTGCTGCTGGCGATAAAGATGAAGTGCTTAATATGCTCAATAGTGGAGGAGCTGATATCGATACAGCGAATGTCGATGGATTAACTGCTTTACATCAAGTAAGTTTAGCCTAATTCCTTAACACCATTTTGTCCATTGGATATAAAATTTCATGATGCTGATTGAATCATAATCGTCTCTTATTTTTGCTCGCAAGCAAGGCAGGCAGGCAAGCTAAGAAGAAAGGGAAAGAAAAAGTGAAATGATTATTTTTAGAATTTCTGAAACAAGCGAAAAAATACATAAACATGATGGCTTGTCTATTAAAATTACTACTAGCTATGTAAAAGCTGTTCCATTGCTGTTTTTGATAATTTTGTTATGAAATACATATGTTATCTCGGTTTAAAGTGTTCCAATAAGTTAAAGTCTAGTAATTCGTCAGAATTCTTGCCAAAATATTTCAGTTCTCATGATCTCAAAGAAGAAAATTGTACAATTTTTTTTGTTGCTGTCTTATATAGTGCTTGGTCGATTTGTATATATACTCAATTGTACGTGCTTGTGTGCCAGAAAATGTAAGGAAATTCACAATACAAATCTCGCGAATTTTTTTGTTGTCATCATTATTATTTTATTTTGTTATGTACAGCACACACGATATTAGTGCTGTGACTCTCTTGAATTTGCACTTTTGTGTCCTACATAATAGTTGATAACGATAATATGTTGTAGATTTGGGTTTAAGATCATATTTGGAACAGACAGGCCTGATTATGGCTGTCGATTGATGGCTTACCAAGGACAGCATTTTTGTTGACCTAGTCCATAAACTTTAAGAAGACTAAAATAAATTGAATGAAATGGAATAATAAAAGAGTCAGCAATTACATTCGCATGATTATAATTGTCAATTTATGATGATTTATTAAATAAGTTGAATTACAAGTCTGTCTGGCTCAACAGCAATTTCATTCAGCCAAAGAAGTCTCTGTCTCATGAATTAATTGAATGTTAATAAAAAATAATAATAATAAGAATTCTCTGCAATACTGATAAGAATTGATCACATTATGTTATGCCTATATGTTTATCGAAGTTGAGAGCAACATTAGCACGATCAGATAAAATTAATTCAGTAAGACTATGACTATGATGATGGTGTGAGATCAAAAGATGTAAGACATTGATGATGATAAATAATTCATTAATTGAGTCAAGTGTGGCATGATTATACAGCATTTTATGTAGGCCTCTAAACATCTGTTCTCGTCCCTTTATAAACTGCTTTCTAGCATCACCATGTCTAAACATGGACTTTTCATGATTTCAGTCTTTATTTTTTTCGCTCTGATTGCTGTAAATATTTAGATAGAAATTTCGCGGAATATTCGTTTTCTCAATTCATATTTTCTTCAAATTTCTCTTGTTCCAATGAATACTTTTGTGTCATGCACATGTACGTTTCTGTATCTCTCCATTTCCATCTTTATTAATCAATTTTTGGTCTATGGGTGAACTCTAATTTATGTAATTCAATAAAATGCCAATTAATTCGTCATCACAAAATTCCTAGTTCATAGTCTAGTCTAGTCTAGTCTAGTTTAGTCACTCTTCAAATTGAGTGGATACACACGAGAATGAATGTAGTTCAAATGATAATACAGGTTCGTTACATTAAAAACTTTGACAGATAAGACCCAATATAAGGAATATAACAAGAAACTATTTATGATGTTTTTTTTTATGACTTCTCGTGCAACATTGATAAAAAAAAAACTGAGCTAATTGATTTTACGGGTAGAATTGTTGGCAGTTAAAAAACTTGGCATGCAATAGTCTTAAAGGATTAGTGGAATGTATTAAGTTCAAGAATCAGATTAATCACATTATGTGATGGGGTCAATTTAAATTAGTTTAGGAAGCGTAAATGTTTGACGTCATGAGTAAATTTTGTGGAGGAGCACATGAACTTGGTTCAACACCCTAATCATTCATGCTCTTTCTATAATAACTTCCTTAACAATCAAAGTTGCTATTCTATTGAAATCTTATTTTATTGTCAATTGACGTCATAACATCACAATTATTTAATGAATAGAATAATCTAATTCGATTATGAAACCTGTCTACCTAGTGCATTTCATGACATTTGATACAGTTTTGGATTGTCATCTGTAATTACACTTTACATTGTGATACAAAAGCTGCACAGATTGAATGTAAGGAAATATTTTTTGCTAGTCTTGAGCTTTTCATCACTTGTAGACTCTAAAGACATAGTAAAATAAATTGAGGTGGATCTTCTCATACTGTAGAAAAAAGAAAAGATGAAAAAATAAAATAAAAGAACCTTGAATTGGAAATATCTGTGTAGCCATCATGTCACGACTGTCACATAAAAAAGCATAAATGTATATGTGGTGCAACATAAACAAATGACATTAAAAGGCGAATAAATTTAACACAAATTGCCATTGCACTCGTTCTTAACATTATGCAATTTATGCTCGTTTTTTGGCTTGAGAACCATAAAATTGAAAATAATAATAAATCGTAAAGGAATGTCGAAACATAATGAGAGATATTTAATTAAGAAATGATTTGACGAAAGCAACAAGTTGCGAAGGATTTGGCATTGGATTTTATTTTCACATTTATTTCTCTTTCTTTCCTTCTCAAATGCAAGCTTTTAGTGCTGTGCTGTGTGACGAACAGTTAAATAAATAATAATGAATGAATGAATTGGTGAGCAAGTGCTGATATGATACACTTCATCCATCACTGGATATACAGATGTGTATATAGTCTAGAAACTAAAACAACAACAACAAAAAAAAGACTTTAATAATAGTGAAATGTGTAAAACAAATTGTATTTATTATGGTTTTTGAGTAATGAGGAAAGAGATAATTTTTTATTGAGAAAAGTACATTAGCGTAGACGAAATCATGCATGATAGAGATATAACTAGAGCATGTATGCGTACTTTTCTGCATTATGTCTTTATATATTCAGTATTCAATTGAGCTTTTGTTGTAAGAAAATTTCAAGGATCATAAATTTGAATTAAGCTATTTATCAACATTTATTATGATTAATGGTTGAAATAGCATGTTTGTATGACACTTTAAAGTCGCAATTTTCTTTCACAAATTTATCAAAGAACTGTTGTCTTTTAGGGCTTAGGCTTATGTGTTAGATTATCCGTTATATGTCAAGATTATTTATTCATGCTTTTAAAAAAAGAGACTGAAATTGGCTTTTGCCTTGTTATTATTACGAAAACTAATTAGCTAATGAGTCTGTTGACTGACTAATGCAAAATCGATCAAGCATAAGGCTCGCAATCTTTTAAAATTTCTATTTTTATCCATTCACATATTCGTAAAATATTTATTATTTATTGTCTTTCTGAACGCATTATATTTTATAGAAAATGTTGCTGTATGTTTTATTTTTGGCACATAAACCTATTTAAAGTTAATTATTGTGCCTCATATATTGATTCTTTATGATCGTTTATCTCAGAATGATTTTTTTTTTTAAATTCGAAACGAATTGATTTAATGCTTCTTCCCGAGTAATTGCTTTATTTATTCGGAAGTGTAATTATATACATCATGTGTAGCCAAAACAGTTTCAGTTTTAACTAAAATAATATTTTAAGGGTTTATTCGTCAATTGTGTCCTTTAAAAGTAATATATTTTAGACTTATTTTCTTACTTGCTGCAACATGTTACTACAGAAAAATCCCAACCCCACCTAAATGTTGAATGTCCATAATGCTTATTCAATAAATCTTTGAGAAAGTAATGTTTGCAAAACATAAAATAGTTTGAAAAGTAAAGAAAAAGCTTATCAAATTCATGTGTGATTCATTCCTTATAATTCTTGTGATTACCAATGTGTAATATTTGTCTTTATAACTGAAATATTTGTTTCAAGAATTATTGATAAAGCTTTGACGAGTGCACACAAAATGTTATCGAAAATCAATTTCCGAACTTAGTCTAATTTTGCCTTTAAGTCGGTGCATGAAATTTACTGTATGTTTTATTTTTACTGACTTTCTTATAAGTTCTTACACTGTAAGCAAGGTTGTGTAACTTATCAAAATTTGTTTTATCAGTTCCACACCCTTGATTCTAACTGACCTTCTTAATCGTTCTATTCTTCAAGTCGATTGTTTGAACGGAACGTTCTATACGGAACTATAAAGAAGAACTATAAGAACTATAAAGATCACTAATAAAAAACTTGGATATTCGGTCTGATCAAGGTCTTGCAAATTTGAGTATTAAGGCTCAGCCAACAGAATTTAAAAGTTTCTAATCCTCATCTTACTTATTTGTACAAATCAAACCAAATTGATAGATTAGTCACTGATGTACTTGCTTCAATTTTGACTCTTTATTCAAGTTTATTTAATTTTAATAATTATCTCGTTGTCAGCGTGCAAGATTAAATAATCCTGAAAAGAACCTGAATTCATAATTAATTTGCTCTGAACTTGATTCACAAATTTCTTGTTAAAATCTAAAGATTCATCTGAATAGAATTTTAAGCTAGCCTTTGTGACCTTAAATTTGAATTTAATTTATGAAAATCAGCACAACTCAATGAAACATATTTTAGATTGAGGATCCGATGACAAAAAAGCTGTTAAAGTGATAAAATCGAGAAAAGAAATTGATGTTTTCAACTTAATGACGTCTACGTATCCAATGTTGGGTTGAAATATGATATAATGATGTGTCTACGCCTACACAAAAAATATGATAAACGTTTTAAATTTTAATAATATTCACGATGCTGTTTAGAAAAGATTCAAATGAATGAGACTTGATAAAATCTTGAAGCCAAAATTTGTCAAATTTGTTGCTGTTTTTATCAGACCTTTTTCAAAACTGTTTAAATTAACAGAGAAAAGGCTTGACCAGAGCTTAAAATCGGCTTGTTTCGAGTCATCTCGAACTTTGACTTAAACGATTAGAATTAAGTAGGATTCTAATGAACATTTGGATGAATCAAGATTGTCAGTCTCATTTCTAATCAGAGCACTTAATTCACGATGATAGTGGATCGTTCATAAATGTCGTCATCATTTGGAGGGGTCCTCAGAGTTGTACAGGCGCTGAGAAATTTTAATCCAACGTTACAATAGAATTGCTTGTCGAATTTCATAAATAAGTTATCAACAGCAAAGCTCATCAAGTCCACCATACATGAATGATTTTTAATTGAAATTTATTTCCCAAAATAAGCCATGAATGTAATTTTCATACTTGATTTAATCACAATTTAGGAATAAAAACCTAGAATTGGTATGTAAATAATAATTCATCAAGTCAATTAAATATTCAACTATCAAAAGCAATGCCTACGACAAAACAGCAGTGATAGATTTCAATTTGCGGTTATTATTTTCAACTCCAAGTTTTTTTTTGTGTTTGATAAAAAAAAAATCTGATTCAATTTCTTCGTACATTTGAGAGCTTGTAATAAACAAATCCCAAGTGTTTGAGTTGTGCATTGATGAATGTATTGAGTATTCATTTAAATCCTAATATAGGAAGCAGCTCAATTTTGCATGATTTTTTTTTCTTCGATTTTTATTTTTATAGTTTTAATTATATCCGCATTTTGTGTGCTAAAATGATTTGGCAATAATGAGCATAGCAATGTGTATTGAAAAAAATGGAAGCTCAAACGTGATGATATTGAGTTCATTGACCTAATATCCATTTTTAATAAGACTAAAATTAAAAATACTTTAAATATGAATTCAGAACAAAATACTGATTGTATGTTACAAACGTTGATAGTAATTGCTTAATAACGTTAATTGCTTTTCAACTGCTGCATTGTATATGAAATATATTAAATTATTGAAGGAACTCGTCTCAACTCTTTATGATATATTAGCTTTGAATGTATGTATGTAGTTTTCATCCATCTCGCAAAAAATGATGATGATGTTCCACAATAGAATGTCTCTGTTAATATTCCATTCATAAGACGACAGTCAAACAAATGATGTTTCTTTATTATGAGTTAACGAATTGATAGTTGCTCGATAAAACAGAAGAAATTATAAAAGAAAAATGATTTATTGTTGAATGCAATTCCTTATTTGATTTGATATACAACAACTCTTCGAGAGACTTTATTCTATCTTACAACTTTTTTCATTCTTTGTATACACACTTCTTGTGTATACTTCTTCGGATGCCCATAATGTAATGATAATTATGCCTCTCTTGCTACATCTTCCTCAGTTTATTGTTTTTATCGCGATTTATTTTTTAAGGATTTGATGCTTTTTAGGGCATTTTGGGTGACTGTTTTTGATGGTGATTTGGTTATCTAGCATAAGGAGTCGTTAATGAGCTCCGAACGACTTAAATCCATTTTTGATTTTTCTGGTCAACAAATAAACACTTTATAAAACATATTTGATATCGTTGGCAAACTTGAAAAAAATCTGCCAGAAAATGTAATAATATTTTTTTAATTCCCTCTGCAACTCTTTAAAGCAACTTAAGTCTTAACAACCAAATAGAATCAAGGGTTTTTTTGGACTAGCTCATTAATACTGAACATTGTTTGAAAAAAGTATTGTGTCTGAAACTGTTTGACACCCTTATTTGTAGGACATCATTTGCGATCTTATTTTTTAAATTGACAAAAAAAAATTTATGTCATTTAGAGTTTATAATTTATCATTTTGCTTTGCTTAAGAAGTTGATAAATCTGACTTTGTTAAAAAAAATACCAGGCATCTATTTTGGCTCATTAGGCATTAATTCAGATTTTAAGCAACCTGAGCTTATCAATCGATAAACAGTGTTTTGAATTCTCTACAAAAGAGTTTCAACTCAAATGCGTTTTGGTCACTCAAAATATTTAAACTTGCAACCTTTTTATGTAGAACATCTTTCTTCCTGTCAATTTTTTTACTGCCGATTTTGATATAAAAATGAAATAATGAGAAAATGAAAAAGAATGTTACGAAATCTATCAAAAAATTATATTCTATTGCTCATATAAGGTAACTCTTATTTCTTCAATGATATTTTTAATGAAAGTGATGAAAAGCATGAGCTATCAATAAATAATTTAGATGAAAATTTCTGTTAAACAGATTCCAGATGATCGTTTTTATTTTGCCAACATAAATCATTATTTGATAATTTGCCAGATTTCGTTGTATCATGTGAAAAATGACGAGATATTGTGTAAATAAATAGTTCTGGAAAATTTCCATAACAATATAAAGATTTTCTATTTTGTTTCCTTTTCAAACCTTGAGTTCAATTATATCACTTGACATTTATGGCATTGAAATATCATCGAAGACATTAAAGAACAATTAATTATGGTCGATTCTTCTAAATATTCAATGATCGCGTGAAAAATGAATTTTCTTTCTTTTCAATGAGATCTTTCCATAGTTAAAGCTATAAATAGAATTTAAAAATTTTCACTGTTCTCGCTTACTTCAGATGGAATTACGAAAGGCCCTTTAGTCATCTCTAATGTCTTCTCTATGAATTATTGGAATTTTATTCCTGTGTTCTATCAACAAGCTTGGCAATTAACGTGTAAATTCTATTTTTTTTTTGTACTGAGACGTGGGTGATAAATTGTTTTTCTAGCAGAATAACTGATTGTAATGAACGATCATCAAGAAATTCTTTTTGATATTGATGTGCATTATTCGTATTATGATTTTCAGAGTCAGTTGATATTTGTGAGTGTCAATCTGATTGTTTTTGGTCAGAAGAGTTTCTATTTTCTTTAAAATCACTTGTATTGACTCGAGTTCATGTACGAAAATTGATTCAAGCTTTTGAAAATTCTTTACTCAATATCCTCCCCCTCAAAAGTTTTTTGAATATAGCTTTGATGGACAGCCTATAAATCCTATGTGTCACATCAAATTTATTCTAAATCATACAGTAATTTAATCAGAAAATGTCCAGAGAGCAATATTAACACAAATGCCTTTTCATTTGCATAGCATATAAGATAAAATCTAAAATTCAGCTTCGTGAAAATTTCAATGTTCAAACAGCAAAATAGTTTTTTGGGCTTATCAGGATAGCAGCGTTGCCAAATTTCGTAGCAATTTTACAGTAGCACTGACCGTCTTTTTTTTCGTAATTATCCTTCACATAAATATTACAGCACACAGTTATTCATTCTAATAATAGATCATCAAATATACAATGGATGTAAAACTCGAGAAAGTGGAAGAAGAGAGAGGAATACGTTACGTCATTAGTTCGTTGCGACTGGCTTTTAATTGAAAATTTCCGCCAAAACAGCAACAGTTTTAAAGAAAAGAGAACAGAATTATTATTTTTAGAGTCTTGATGGCAATACACGTTCGAGAGGTTAGACTTTAGTCTGAAATGCTTGCTGAGATTTCCGATGATTTATCTCTCCTTTATTGATTAAATTATGAATGATTCATGAACATGCTATTTCCAAAATTTGAGTAGGATTGATATGATAAAATGATATATTTTTAAACTTTATTGTTTTTCTTCGTTTTTTTTTGCAGGCATGCATAGAAGATAATTTAGATATGGTAGAGTTTCTTGTATCTCATGGGGCAGATGTTAATAGAAAAGATAATGAAGGATGGACACCGCTTCACGCAACTTCATCTTGCGGGTAAGATGAGAATAAATACTTTAATTATTTAGACAATGAGGTTAATCGTTCAATTAAAATATTTTTAGGATTGTTAGTATAGCGAGATATTTAATTGAAAATGGTGCTGATTTGGCAGCAGTAAATAGTGATGGCGAGCTGCCTATTGATATTGCAGGAACAAATGCCATGGCAGATTTACTTCAGCGTTATATTGACGAACATGGAATCGATTGTGATGATGCACGACAACAGGAAGAGAAAACAATGTTGTCTGACGCTAAGAAATGGTTGAGATCCGATGCCAGCGAAGCTGATAGACCACATTCAAAAACTGGAGCAACTGCGCTGCATGTCGCAGCTGCAAAAGGATATACTAAAGTTTTAAGTCTTTTGTTGGCTGGAAGAGCGAATGTAGATCGTCAAGATAATGATGGATGGACACCACTTCATGCGGCTTGTTATTGGGGTAAAAAAGAGGCTGCACAAATGCTCATTGCATCAATGGCAGATCTAGATATTCAAAATTATTCAAATCAAACCTGCATAGATATTGCGCCTAAAGATATGGTTTCATGGCTTGAGGAACTTAGAAAGAACAATAAACGTACAAAACGACGACCGATCAGCCAAATTAGGATAAGTGACAATAATTTAGAAAACAATATCGAATCGCCACCAAAAGTTATTCGCGTTGAACTTAAATCACCCATTGAACCCGAACAAACTACTAATACAGGTATGCATCCTTACATTATTCTAAATTTTATTGAACAATATTCGGTCGTTAATTATTAATTTGCCTTAACGGTGATTAGAAGATCTAAATGAATTTCCTGTTTTTCTTAAATATTTCTTTAAATTCGCTTCAATTAAACTCGTGTGTAAAACTCGTCTAGAATCTGAATCGGATTCTGAAAGTGAGGAAGAAAGCGAAGAAAGTGAAAGTGAAGAAGGTAAAATCACCCTTCATGTAATTATTTGCTGTTGTCCATAACCGATTTCGATGTAAATATTGCATTAGACAAAATCACAAAAAAAAAACATATCAATCACATTAATTAAAGTACATTGTATCACTTTGTTGTAATAATTAATTTACTTTATATACATATTTATTTTTGTTTTTAAAAAAGCATTAAATTATTTGTGTCTGTAACTAATTCCCTTTTCATCTTGTTTTCCAGGAGAGCAAAATAAAACGAATAATAATAATAAAACAGAAACTGTTCGAGAACAGATACAGTCGACTGTACCAAAAGTAAATGATTCCAATAGTGAGATAGGACGAACAAATGCTCAAGACGAAAATACACAGAAAACTCGTAAGTTATCTGCATTATTATTAAATGCTGAAATACAATAAAATTTGCAATTTACTCTTCTGTTGTAGAAGTTCCTGAAAAAGAAAACCAAACAAATGATTCTGAAGTGATTTTACGACGAACACAAAGTTTCGAAAATGACGAGAAGTGAGTCAATTGTTCCTTTATACTCTCTAATTCTTATTTTTCAATGTTAAATCATTATCCTTAAAACTAAGTGTTTATTTTTGAATTCACTATGTCGGTTGCAGACTAGTGATTTCAATTTTATTTTATGATTTGCTAATAATTCCCTTAACAATATTTACTTATTTTTTTGCATTTTCATGTTTTTTTCTTGCCATATATTTTGTGCTTATTTGAAAAATGCTACTAATTTGTTTTAATCATAAAAACTGATTACCTAACAAATTCATCAATAAAATAAACTACTCATTCACGAAGATTTTATCAAAAATACATCGAGCTTCGAGCGCGAATTAAAGCAAATTCATGTCCAGCATTGCCTGCTACTAAATTAGTTAACGCAAAGGATGATAGTGATAAGGAAAGTACCACAAAGCCTATAACAAATTTTCTTATACAACGTTCAGCATCGCTCAAAGATCATAGAAGTCAATTAAGGTAGTATTTAACATGCCAAAATTCACATTGCTATTAATCTATTAATTTTGCAACATATTTGATTGTCAGTGCATGCTTTAAACTTGACAGTTCAGTTAATTATTTTTATCATGACATAATGCGCACAATTATGTGTATTATGCGCGTGTTATACAAATGAATTTGTGTGTTGTTCGCGTTAAAAGTAATATTTTTACATGTATAATGCGCGCATTTTACAAATCATATAAAAATTTGCGCTTTTATGCAAATTGTGCAGAATTTCTGAAATCTGAATTTAAAAATTAAGTACTAATTGTACAAATCTATTTCTTTGTAGTAAAAAAGCCAATGAGAAAACGCCACCGACCAGTCCGTCAACAACTCCTTCAACGCCAGCATTAACTCCATCATCAGTACATTTGAGAAGGTATGTATCCATGTTCATCTCTCTATTCCTTTATTTTCTTCCATTAAGTTCTTGTAAAAATTTTCGTACATATAAAAATCCAATTTTAATTTTACACAACAATATACTCACACGAATCATAAATGTTTTCGAATAAAAGTTATGAGAAGCCAACGCCAAAACAAGAGTCAGCTGTAGGTGCATTGATGACAGCAAATCAAAATATAATTGATCTGATCGCACGACGATATAGTTCACCAGCGGAATCTTTGAATAATATAGCAAACACGGTTAATACGAGCGCATCAAAAGTGCGAAAAAATTCAGCCACAGATGTTGCAATTAAAATTCCTGAAAAAACAGAAAAATCCGTGTCTGAAGAAACTCAGATACAAATACCAAATCAATCGTCAAGTCCAACAAGTCCGTCGTCGACAATGCTTAATAAATTGTCGCCCGGAAATATTTTCAAAAACATTTTCAAGTAATTTTATTTAAAAACTTTTCTTATGTTTGGATAGACATTTAGATAAATCCAGTTGGACTAATTCCTAGTTATAGATTTGATCCGAGACTTTTGATTATTGTCCTGATTTGAGTGCTATTTAACAAGATTTTTTATTCCATGAATAACTATTAAAGATTGTTTTTGCTTTAAAATTTAACATAATTCACACAACACAGATACTTTTTTGTTGATGACATCCAGACATTATTCGCATCCCGAATGAAAATGGAATTTTAATTAACAACCTTTTTTTTTTCATACTAATTTTTACAATTTACATACAAAATATTAATAATTCAATCTATTAACTCCTTAGATCGTTCGTTCCACCAACAAGAGATGAAGAGAGTGAGACACAACGAAAGGCGCACGCAAAGCGAGTCCGTGAAACAAGAAGATCAACTCAAGGTGTGACTTTAGATGAGATAAAGAGTGCAGAGCAATTAGTTAAATTGAAAAATGCCAGTAACAGTAATGGAAACGTAAGTTGAACTTTATTTGCTTCATGATAAAAGGATTAACGAGATATTAAGCTTTCTTACCGAGTGACACATTATTTTTCTTTGGAGAAATTTTCATTCCGCTTTTAATTAAAATATTTTTCGATAATCTTAAGGATTGACTTTAATCCTTCCTTTAATAATCCCCCATATAAATATTCTAACATTAATTAATAACTCCTGTTAGACGGAGAATGCTAGTAGTGAGCTTAATGAACGCTTATCAGAGTCAACAGCACCGGCAGCAACTGAAGATTCGTCGGTTAGTGACAAAACGGAAGTAAATGTAAATTATACAATTAGTTCACCACTTCGAAAAACATTGCGACAAAGTAGTGAAAAGGATGAAGACGGGAATGAGCCAAAAATATCTGCTACATTTACAATTGCACCACCGCCACGATCAAATACTAGTTCCATAAGTAGTTTGGCAAGTCGTTTGGAAAAAGGGCTAAGCATTGAAACATCAACAGCTAATTCCGTTACAGCAACAATTAATGTGCCTCTTATATCGTCATCAAAAACCACATCCTCAACGAATAGCAATAGTGATATGGATGCTAATAAAAAGACTGATCAAAGTCCTCCAATACCGACTCCCAGATCTTTATTTGATATTGATAATGCATCGTCCCTAAAATTGGCTGATAAATTGCAGCAAGAAGCTAGGAAATATGATGTGAATGCAATTGACGAGTCATTGACTACAAAAACAACGACAAATGAGCCTTTAAATTACTTAAATGAACCTCTTCCGCCCTCTCCAATACATCATACGATTTTCGGTGAACGAAGGCCTTCTTGGAGATTAAAAAATGACTATAATAATAAGGTAAACTGACAGAATCATGGACAAGCTGCAAATTTATTATGATTAAAAGTTTTATGAGTTCTTCTTCTCTTTTTGTTTGTGCCTATTTCTACTTTATTTTGAAGATTTAATTTTTCTTGCTTGCTAATTAAAAGTAACAGCTTTCCTTAATGTTCTAAATGAATTTAATTTACAAGTTTTTAAAACTAATTATCTATTGTTTTGGTACAAAACAGTTCAAATTGGAAGATTCTTCACAGTCATCGACATCATCAACGAAAGGAAATAATTCAACCGCACCGCACATATCTTCAACAACAAATGGTGTAACACAAGATCCAATTAAAACAACAGTTATATCCGCAGTCCCGAGAGAACAAACCTCAACAGAGAATAAAAATTCGAATGAAACAACATCAACAACGGGAGCAGTCACAACCACTTTACCATCAAAAGAACCACAAATTACATCGAATCGATCGGACGATGACAAAGGTGAGCATTTTTAATTAATTTTGTAGCTTTAAAGAATAAATTTTTGATTTGATCTAGAAAATGACAAAGAAAATGATAACAGAGGTGGACTTTCGGCACAAGCAGCAATCCAGAGAAGAAGACGTCCAAAAAGAAGATCCACTGGAGTCGTTCATGTCGATATGGAGGTAGTTTTGCATCTGTTGCGAATTTCAGGCTTTTGAATTAATGAACTTTTATCAAAAATTAGGAAATTGATCAGGAATATCGTCACGAAGTGCCAGCGGATAATGATGAATGTAAAAATTTGGTAAGTAGGTCAAACTTATTTATTTTTTGTTTCCCAATTTAAACTTTAGAGTCTAAAAATAAACATTTAAGCTTGCTTTAAAAAAAACTTCCTCAATGTATCATCGAGAATTTGTCGTAACTTTAACAGGGTTTCGAGTTGTTTCTTTTTTTATCAAGCTACTTTCGAATTTATATCAAACCTGATCAAATCTCTGAAAAATTTTAATTAAATATAAACAGAACTACACACAATTTGCGATGACTAAATCAGTTTTTTTATAAGTGTCGATATAGAACAACCACAAAAACAGATACTCAAATGGTTCGACGAAAGGTGAATATTCTTAAAAATTATAAAGTCTGTCGATCCATATCTCTTTCACTTTCATTTGATTTATTCCCCTATTTTCGTATTAAGACCAAAAAGAAATGAAATTTTTGAGACGAAGTCACATAAAACATTATTAAAAATTTAATAGTGCGTGAATGAAATTTATAATGTTGAAGTTTAAATTTAATTAACGCTGTGTGGTGTCAAAATAGCTCATAAAATATGATAACTCCTAAATGCTGACCTATGAAACATTAAAGCTTCACCATTTTAAGATATTCGAAATCATTTTCATTATGAAACGGTGTTTCATGAATTATTGATATCTTTTCCACAACTGTTTTATTGTTTCGCACATAATAACTTTTTTTATTTGATCGTTTTCGTTTTTTTTTTGCTTTAAATGAAATGAAATTCACATTTTTGAACGTTTCCTTTGATCAATTTGTATTCAACGTCCATCAAGCTTCTCATTTGTTTCTTCTTCATTCAAAGCAAATTGTGGATTATAGTTCATAAGAAATTTTGAATTAATCGTAAGTTCATGGGATCATTACTGAGTCAGGAGGGTTAAGACCCATCCTAAAATGTCCTTGAGGTAGACATCATTTATGATCAAACTGTTATAGTTCAAATTTAAGCTTTCAACCATGTACTAAAAGCTTATCTAGTCTGGATCAAAGTTCTCACATTTTCATTAAAATATTTCCGTTATAAAGTCAATATCGTAAATATGACAGAACGAATGATTAAAAAATGTAAAGGTTCTGAATATTGACGAAGAACGTAAATGATTGAAATTATTTTTAGCGCATTTTTGAAAACTTGTTAATCAATTATAATTAAACAAAAAGATTTATAGCCACCCACACTCAAATTAGACTTTTTCTTTTCAGATCATCCATTAGACTAATTTACTGTATAATTAATTTTCATTTCTCATATTTCTTTTATATAAAAATTTTACTTATTTCACCTTGGTCAGTTTTCTGCTGTCTGCAAGTATTTCCCATAGCGTCACAATATTTTGTTTGCTTTTGCGAATATCTCAGGATGTGATTTTTGTCAATGGTAATGAACTTTAGTGTTGTTGCTTTATAAAATCTTAGACTTTCAATTTCTACTTACGTAATAATTTGGTACAAGGAACTTGCCACTAAATTCTAAGGATCTTTGGATCAGATTCTTGGCACAAGGATTGTGCCACTTGATTCGAAGGAACTTGCTTAATATTGTTCATTTCTAACTTTAAAGTGATTTTTTCTTTCTGGTATAAAAACTTTAAATTCTTAATTAATGTTTAATTATCAAATATATAATTTCTTAGTTTAACCATTTCTTTGAATCGATGTTTACCTGTTTAAAGCCTTTTTTTTACTGTCGGAAATTTTCGACAGACACAGCAAAAACAAGATTTGAAGAATATAAGAATTAGTGTCACTCAAACCTTTATGAACATCTGCTTTGTACAAAAATAGATCCAAAGAACAATCAATGAGCTAGTTTACATATATTTTGATTGGCTGTACTTCCTTAGAACTGCGAGTGTAGTATATATACTGAATTTATTTTTAAATGCGATAAAATTGATGCCAGTCATGAATGATTATTGAAATCTTTCATTCATATTCATACATGTCTATTGTCTGTGAACTTGCTGAAGACGGCAGAATGTCTACTTGTAACAAATAGTCACGCAAATGTATGAAATGAAGATTGTCTCTGATCTCTCGAGAAAAATAAAAAAAGATGATATATGGAATCAAGAAGATGTGGGAAGTGAATTTGCTTATATTTAAATTAATATTGGTAGCTCAAGTGCTTTCCATTAAGCATTCACAATTCAGATATAGAAACGAGGTGTTTTGTTTAGGTTTTTTGTAAAGATATGATGTTTTTTTAAAATAAGCAGCAATTAATGTGTGATATGAAAACGTAGAAACACTCATGTTATGTACCTGATGATACATTTGTATCCACGAGACTAGAACTGCGTGAAGATGTAAACAACCTATAAACATCCACGTTTGTTTTTAAACTTGATGAGCAGCAAGGAAAGCCCGCTTTTCCAATGGAAATTTTCCACTGATTCTCTCGAATTTTTCCTCTCTGAATTTATTTTTTCATGTATTAAATGAAAATTTTACGAGAAATGTGCCTCAGAAGTGCTGTGAAATTTTAACAGAAAACACGTTAAGGCATTCGATTGTTCATATTCGCGTAGGAAATAATTTTTTTAAAAAGAAGAAAGCATTTTGTGAAAAATATTAAAATTCTGTAAAGTATGTGGAAATTTCAGTCATTCTTGGAAAATGTGTTTCAATCATTTCCGGTTCCAATTATTTGTGATATCGTTGGAAACTGATGTTTAAAAAAAATTATTTTTATATCCTCCTTAAATTTCGGTATCATTAAAATTTATAGTCGGAGTAAACTGTCTAGGAATAACCCGAACGAATTAATTGCTTCTTTTACTTAAATCTGTCTAATATTTTTCTGATTTTTCTGTGCCTGTGTTTCGCATCGCAATTACTTTCTGGGAATAGCGAGGAAGAGAAAATCGCTGATTTTTTAACATTTAAGGAGAAACTCTTTTGGTGATCACAAATGTCGTAACAAGTTTGTCTTCAGCAGTGCTTCTCAACCTTTTAAGTCAAGAGTCTTGATTTTGAATTACTCGAACAGCAAGTTTGTCTCATATCCAAACATTTTTGTTATAATTCTATGATGAAGACCGAGACGGATCGTCGAACATCGTTTGAGTAGCAAAACTGATATGCAGTTGCGTTGGACAAATATTGTAGAAACACATTAAACAGATCCAAATTGACATCTGTCATAATATTTTCTCAAACGATTTCTATAATTGTTTTGGGTGCTCACGTCAGAGAGTTACCGAATGAGATTTCAAGTTTTTTTTTTCTTTTTCGCACCGGAGATACGAAAACATCAACAAAACGTCACTTGAATATATATTTTGATCTGCCAAATGTTCGCAAATTAAACATTTTCCCTTCTTATTTATTATCTCATCATATTAAAAGAAAAACACACGTTGAATTAATCATTTAAAGAGACGTAGCAGTGATCAATGTACAGAAAAGTGAGAGAAGAAAAATTATTTTTAGATTTCAACTCGACATCATCATGATTTTTCTTCTTTGACTGCTTTTAACAGAAAGTTTTCATTTAATTTTCATCTTTTTGTTGTGGCTCAGGTTGAAATTTTTACTTTCATTTATATCGTTAATTAGTCATATTCCGATTGCGGGTTTTTTGTAGATTGTTTTGTTTAATTCTTAAGATTTTCAAACAATGTCTTGTCAATGTTTTTGTGAGATTTTTCCTGTGATGTGAATCTTGTGGGATGATTCTGTTTTGTTCGCAGATAAATAATATTCTAAAAATGGATCTTCATCCTTGAATGAGAAAATCTTTGATCTTAGTATCGTTTACTTTGAGTTAGGGTTTTCTGTACCGACATGTAAAAGTGGCTCCACAGAATCTTCATAAAATGAAACGAATCATTCGTGAATCAGTATAACAGTTTTGAAAAAAAAAAACTCCTCCTAAAGACATTCCGAGATTTACATCAAAAATCACTAAATTTTAAATCGCACGTCATTAAACTTTAGGATCTTGTCAATGAAACAAATGTTTCATACATTGTGTAACATGGTTTCATTCACTTGTGACTAGTCCGACGCACATGTTTCTAAAAGTATAATAAATAATACGTCAGAATGAATATGAAAATAATATTTAATGTCAAATAAATGAAAAGAGACAATTTTTTCGAATGTGAATGAAACCTACGCACAATTGAACTTAACAAGGAATATCTTTTCTTTGTGACATTGGGACAAAACAAAGTGATTCAATTAGCTGAAGAATATTATTGCATCATTGATAGATGAGCATGTTTACGAATGTAATTAAAATATCCACAAAAATTGAGAATTGAAGCACATTTTTCAAGTCAATGACATTTCTTTCCGTATATCCAAAAATTGTACACGACAATTTATTACTTTTCAAACAGAATTAAAAGAATTTAAAGCATTTATTTGAATCAAAAAAATGTCATTTCGATCGAGATCAACCGCCAGACCAATTGCTCCTCCAAGGAGACGTTCTTCGTCATTAACCAGAGCAGCTGGTACAACAAATGGCAGTTATCCATCAAGTTCTCGACCAATTAGCATGCACGGTTCGTCTATTAATTCCTCGTTGAGTTATCAACCATCACAAACTCCTGGAAGTTATTATGGATCAAATCAGAATTTAAGCATGAAGAGTAACGACTACTATAATGGAAGAAGTGCTTACAATTCTGGTGTGACAAATGGGACATTGAAATTTCCATTAACTACCATGAGCACGGCTGGTTCAAATTATACCTCACCATATAAAGATCGTTATTCTCAGAATTATTATATGAATGGAACAGGAGCTGCATCTTCCTCTTCTGGATATACATCAGCCTATAAAGATCGAAATTATTACAGTCCATATTCAAGTTACGAGAATGGAGTAACGACTGCAAGTTTAAGTATACCAGGACCTTCAGTTAAACGTGATTCATATAGTTCAAGGGGAAGTAACTTAATGTCCACTTCAACATCTGGTATAGGTGGCTCCAACTCTAATTTAATCAATAATAGTCAGGGAATAGTAAATTTGGGTCGATCACAGTCGTTAAGAGAACAAGAAAGAAAAAGTCGATCACGAAGATGTAAGGAAGCAGCCAAAAATGCTGTTCCAGATTCTGCCGTTCCCTACGATCCCGCAGCTTCAAACTTATTGTCTTCTGCTGGACAAAAATCAATTAGTACACAATCGTTACAATCTGAAGGATATGAAGTAAGATTGATAAAAGTAGATTTGAGGAAGATAAAGCAAGCATATCGCGTTTAAATTGATCTGAATATTTATTTAAAGAACATATGATTAATTAAGTATATATTCATTTTATTTGTCATTACAGTCTGGCAACGAATCTCGCTCTCGTGCTGAGTCATTAGTGTCGAATTCTCTCGTTGATACAAACGATGATGGAGAATTTATTGATTATAAGGCTCTCTACGAGGCTGCTAAGTAAGAATAAAAATTAATTTAAACATTAATTGATTTATTTGACTTAAAACTCTTTTGTTGTCCACCTTCTAGAGCTGAAAATGATCAATTAAGATCGTCGCTAAAAAGTAAAGAGCATGATTTGGCAGCCGCAAAATCGGCGTTGGAAAGACTCACAGCAGCTGTAAGTAGAATTAATCCTCAATTATTTTCTTAATTGGCAATTATTCGTCCTAAATGCATCTGTCATTTTACTTTAGTCTTAAGCCAAATTTAGCTAATTTTATTCATTCGTAATTCCTTTTACGTTTATTTATGTCAAACAGGCAACCAAAAGTTCATTATCTGAAAATGAGAAGCGTGAGAAGCGAGCGATGGAACGAAAGATTTCCGAAATGGAAGAGGAACTTAAGGTAAAGAAAATTGATGCAATTTCACATGCTTTAATGCTTTTAGTACATATTAAGCCATAAGATATCACATGAAAAACTAACACAAATCTCATTACTTGAAAATCTCATCAATTTTACTCAGGACATAAGAAATCAACCCAAAATATTATCCTCTATAGCTCTTTTTTTGCACTCACATTTGTTTTTATTTAATTTTTTTTTTTCTTCTTTTGTCACACATATTTCGGAGAGCGAAATCCTTTTGACATTCTTCATGTATCAAGTTTGTCACCAAATATATTTATTTTTATTTAATGGATGATCTTTAAAACTGCTTTTACTTACCATAATCATTTATCTCATCAAAACATTACACTAGGAACTTTTGGTGTTCAAGTTGTCAATTGGTTTAGAAGTAGCGCATTTTTCAATGTTTTTAGGCAATTGTCACAGTTTAAATGATGATTTTTTGTTATTCATATAAGTTGCGTATTAAAAGCTACATTTTATGCGTATCGTGTTGCTAACCAAGTACTTGCTGGGGTTCAATCTTTTTTTTTATTTCGTCGATTTATGTTTGAATTGTGACTAGAAACATCGCAGGGTACATCAGTTTTCAAATTTTTTGGATACCACTATGAAATTAAGGTTTAAAAGGTGTGGAACAGCCCAAAAATACTGGACCCTCGCCACGGTTTAGTCAAAGCATGGAATTAACGTGTTGTTCTGCTAATAAACGAACATAAATTTGTAATGTTATGATGTTTATTGTTCGCTTGGATTTTAAGTAAATTTATACATTATTTTTTTGTGATTATTCTAATAAGGGGAGTTGTCGATGTTTATTCATTCAAGCAAGACAAGGGTTCGTTCACAAAAAAACGAAAGATTTTAAGATACTTTTATATTGAGGCTTCACAAAAATTCAGATTCCCTATAATGAGATTTTAAGAAGCTTTTTAATTCTAATTAAAAACTTCAATAATCTAAGATCAAAAAAATAAAACGATTAGTGATCATTAATCTAATTTGTCAAGTATATAATGTCAAGGAATTGAAAAATGCGCTACAAAAAACAATCAAAATTTATGATTTGCACAAAAAGCTGTGTGTTAAGTTCAAATGCATTGGATATGTTAGGCATGATGGTTATTCAGAACAAAATAAAATTGCTTTTTTAAAAGCAGCACAAAGCTTGTTTACGTACACGAAAAGTATGTCTGTAATTCATGGTTTAAGTGACATTCTTTGCAAAGTTATCTTTTGAACACTTTTTAACACAAAAATTTGTTTGGTTCTTGAATTATTGCAACATGTTACATAAATCACCCATATTCATGTCATCTTGTTTTATTTTAATGCAAAAAAAAAATATTGACAAATCAAAGATCATTGTAATTCATTTTTCTTTTTCTTTTCTTTCTTTTTTTTTCTTCTTTTTTCTCGACTGCAATTTTATGTGCATTACTATATTTTTGATTTTGAACATCGTTTGCCAAACAAAAAAATCGTGATTCGCACGCAATATCTTATTAATTAAACCATATTATAGCTATTGAACAAATACAAGCAAGAAAATGAACGTTTACGTGCAGAAAATCGAGCACTTACACGTGTAGTATCAAAATTGACAACATCAGCTCAAAATCAACTGCTCAACAAGCAATAAAAATGTTGTAGTGAATGAGAGGATTAAATCATTTGGAAAATTACTCAATGCAAATTTTGATTAATTAATTACATTACTTTTTTTTTTGTTAAATTTAAACCTGTGTGTACTCTCCTAATTTTTTGATCGAATATGGAAAACAGCATAAACATTTAACGCCGAAACATTTTCCCACGGTTATCAGATTTCATTAATGTTATGAAAAACGAAGAACTATCAGTAGTTAACTTAAGGATATTTTTTTTGTGTTACTGAATAGTTAGACAAAACATACACACATGTAGATGCCAATTTGAGAGAGACTATCGTTTGTTTTGTGGTATGATAATTTAATACTACTCAAGAATTGTGTTTATTTTTCTCTTTGTTGATGAGTCTTACTTTTTATATTTTGTTGTCGTTATTTGAAATGTTGTGGCTTCATTATATAATGCTTTCTGTGCAATACCAACTACTCATTTGTTAATTGATTTCACTAAGTTTAATCTGATTTATTCCTTAAACTGACTTAAACCATATCCAAGGGTGAGGAACTGACGAATTAACGTTTTAATCAGTTTAATCAACTCTTGTAATTTTCTTAAATCTGTTATCTTAAAACTGTCTGAGGTTTAGCTTAATGCAATGATATGGGTGTGCATGGCTAAAATCAGCCAAATTAGTCAGATACTAAGACACAATCACATGCCCTGTAAAGTGTGAAGGTAATAAAATAATTTTGATTCTGACGCGATTGCTGGGTAATGCTAAGTTTATGACAATTTAAAAGATAATCCCAAGAGTATGGAACTATATAACTTTGTTTTAATTATTTTTGATCAGTTCCAAATCCTTGGAAAATCTCAAAATTCAAGCCTCATCCTTAGTGAAATCAGTTCGTTCATTTCTGGTTGATTGTCATCTGTTCATATTTCATCATAAATCACTTATCGTACATTCTTATTTATTTTAAAACATCACGCGCTTTTGTGGTCACTTAATAATGATTGGTCGTCGAAATTGGCAGATCTTTCAATATTTTTAAAAATAAGTGTGCTTATCTGTTGCCTTTTATAGTCACAAAAGTCAGACGATTCCTACATTTTAAAAGAGAACCGACGTTTTTATGGCAAAGCTGTCAAGCTCATAATATGACTAGCTAGAACTTTTTTCGAACATATCAATAATCAATAATATTATAAATATCAATTAGCCTTTGTACATGATTATCCAATAGTAAGCTTGCCGCCTTCTTAGTATGATAGTAAAATTAATGCCTAGCTCATTTTTCCGTTAAACACCTTTATCACATGTGACCAACAAATTATTTAATTTTAATGTGTTTCGTCCGCACACAAATGTTTCTAAACTGCGTCACACCAAAACTTATTTGATCTCTAAATCGAGTTGTAGATTCTAGAGAAATCTTTAAGCAGCAGATCGGAAAATAAATTGATCCACAGATTTGAAGAGTCTATCGTTTGCAAAACATTTAATCTTAAACAAAAAATTGTAATAAATATTTCACAAACTTAATGTATTCACAAAATCCACAAGCCAATAAGTTCTATGGCTACAAAATAAAATAACCAGAATTAACAATTTAATCTTATTCATTAAACCATCAAATTCATTGTTGTTGTTGTTCTTGTTTTCTTCCTTCCTTTATTATACATCTTGGGTTGTTTATCATTATCAAATCCTTTGCCATTCCTTTTTAATGTCCACCAATCATGGATAAATTATTTCTATTAATGGATTTCGTTGTAACATTAATTGAATTTCATTTTGTTTTTTGAATCGATATAAAACTGATTTAGGGGTTGTTCACTAGTGGTGTAGAAGGGGTGTAGGGATGCTTGATGGAATCAAAGCTTGAAGTCTCAGAACTTTGTATGAAAAAGTTGAGTTGAGTCGACTTTGAAAAAGTTTATGATGACTTTGAGCTCTAGACTGTATCAAGTGTAAGATTAATTGGTTTATGCCAATGTCTTATGATTTAGCGATACACTAATGTGTTGCAAAGCAATGTTTGAACTGTAACTGACTTATTGGGCATCATTTGTGAACGACTCTGTACCTTTTTGTGATTTTTGTGTTTGTTTTTCTATTGGGAAGATTAAAGTCGGAAATTTTTGGAAAGAAGTGGCTGTCATGGTAAAATTGTAGGCGGATCAACTTACTAGTTTGATCCATATATGTAACATTTTAAAGCTTTAATTTTCCCAGCTTTGATTTTTGATGTAAATCACTATAATTTTTAATTAAAGTTTATCAAATATTTTAATTTTCTATAATTTTCTTACAGCTTATGGATACACTTAAAACAGAAAATCAACGTCTCAAAGATGAAAATGGCGCTCTGATTAGAGTCATTAGTAAATTAAGTAAATGATGAAAAAAGAACCTTTTAAAATGAAGAGTTAAGCACACATTTTTTTGTCATTAAAAAGTGAAAATATGATGAATGCCTTGATTTTTTATGAAAAAAAAAGATGCAGCATTAAATGTAATTGATAGTTTCCTTACAAACTCAATGTATATAGGACGATAAATAAGAGAACGATTCATTCATGCAGATATAAAACAAATAATTCAACATTAACGAATAAATTTTTTGATATTTTTAAAAAATTATTAAATTTAAAAAAAAAATCGAAAAAAGTTTCTGACAGCGAAGAAAGTTCTTTTGTCGAATATTTTAGTCCACAGCCTTAAAACACATTTTTTTCGTCGTTATGTAAATGTAAATTATTTCAAGTCATTCAGTATGGAACGTCCTGTATAAATTTTCTTTTTGTCTAATGCTTAATTGCATTTTTTTCTACTTCTTTCAACGTTAAATTGTTTTTTAACCAATGTATTAACATCCTGCCTTTAAATTTACTTGTTTCCCAATTTCTATTTCTTTTTTCCTTTTTTATTTACTTTTAATAAACATTTTTTTTTTCTACTTGTTATTCGATTTATTTCAACTTTATTCGAACCTTTAAGTTATTCATTCATTTCCTAGTTATTGAAGCATTATTTTTTGTTTTGAAATTTTTAAAAATTTAAAATTATGAATATTATGGATATGATGGATGAGATGATTCATTTCATTAGAGTGTATTGATGTTTTGATATTAGAGTTGGTGAGTAATTGGTCGAATGTATCTAGTATCAATGATTTACTGATTGTTGAACATTAAGAATAGGCGAAGTCAACTACTACTCACTTGAATTATGTGAGCATAACTTTTTTGGAATCAAGAGTACCCTTGAAATTCAAGAAGGCAAATTTTGTGCCTTAATTCTAATAAGTTTTTTAAATCACTGCTCTAAATGGATTAGAGATTGTCACAATCTCAAGCCATTTTAATCGCATATTTTGAGAATCAAAGATCGATTTAATGAAATGCATCAAATCTACTCCTATCATTTCATACACATACACGTTAATGCTATTAAAAATTTTGTAAAGTAAGATCTTTGTGATAGAAACAAAAACATAAAAAAGAAAAAAAATCAAAAAATGCCAAAATCTTCATTTTTGTAAATTAAATGAATTACGATTATCATAAATGCTATAAAAAGCTTCTTTTACATGTGAGTGCATTTTTTTACCCAATAAACTTTCCTTTAATATTTGATTGTCATTAGTTATGATTATTACTATTAGTTATTTTATTGTCATGAATAATATTATCATTATTATAACTACAACTACATAAATTAAACACTTTGAAAATCCGAAATCATTATTTTACATAAATGAAGCAAATCGAACAAAAAATGCGCGCGAATCATTTGTGAGCTAACAATCGTGTATGATTGATTGATTGATTAAGAGAGTTTGTTCTAGTACGAATATTATTATATGATAAATTAAAAATTAGACGGGATTAATTTGCTCGTCAATCCCTCCATAATGCTACTTCCTATTCATGAAATTAAATATTTACAACAAAATTTGTAATTTAATAGTTTTTGAATGAAATCAAAATGAACTCTTTTTGGACATTTCATGAGTATTAAATGAGGAGAAATAAACTTCAAATGTTTAAAAATAAAATCAATGAAAAATTTGACAATAAAGTTGGTCTTTTCATTTCATTCACTTTTCAGGATTTTCATCTTCCAGCATTTTCACACTTTTCGAATGTAATCTAGACTTTATCTTTTTTGACAAGTCTAGGTCAATAACTGACTATCGCTATCCACATCATTCAAACTTTCTATTACAAGTGATGAAGAGTCTGAATTAAAAATTTCTATACTTATTTAGGTGCCTTACTGCTTTTGATTAAGTAACAGAATCCACACTTATTTGACAACTGACATATCTTTATCTGTAACATAGAACTAGTTGCTTGAATCTCTTTTGAATGCTTATAGATTAAGCTTGAATATCATTCTTGAGTAGATGGCCAGAGTATAGATGAAACCAGTTGTATGTGTATTACGGATATTGAGACAAGCACGTTGGTGGCAAGGATCTCTGATCAAAATTCTTATGAAATCGCGGGTTCGATTTCCATCAAACACGACTTATTTATACATGTTTACTTTTTACATTGATTAGTGATACATTGATTAGTGATACATTTCATTATGACTATGGTGACGTAGAATCAAGCTTCCAATCTTCAAATCTAGGTTTCGATTAAATTCCAGGCTCTCGTTACAATCTTCTGTAGGCGTGATGTGATACATTTCAGGTTCGTTCTGACAATAGTCCATTATAAGATAAGCTTGTAGCTCTCGTTCCTATTTCTCTCGTTACTCTTCAAGTTCCTGATCCGTTCATTAATCCTACGTTGCCTAATTATGGCTTAATCTCGTACATTTCGAGCTTTCGGCTTTCGATCATTGTAATCAAGAAAGCAGTAAAGGTAAGTCTCATTAAGCATTTTGTGGGTGTTTTGCGTGACATAATTCAAAACATAAATTTCAAATGAGATTCATAGACTTTTGTATCTATGTTTATTCAAAACCATAGAAATCTTACCAAAATCGTTGATCTTAGCTGTAAACTTTCACTTTCAATAAATAGATAAATAAATAAAACAAGCTCATTTCCAAATTATTTCTCACATATCATACTCGACTTTATTATTTGTTGCAAAATTGCAATAAATTTATCAAATTACATCCTTTACAAATTGTTTTTGAGTGCATTATTAAACTTTTTTTTTTCATTTCTTAGCAGAAAGTAATGGATCATAATAATCCAAATTGTCAATTAAAGATGTAGGAGATAAAATTAAGGATTATCGAGAAATTTCAAGTTTATTAAAACATTGAATCGTTACTGTTTACTTCCTTGCTCTTTACTCTTTACTTCCTTCTATTGTTTATAGTTCATCTCAAAAATAATGGTTCACACTTTTCCGATACGTCTTACATGTAGATGAAGTTGAATCTAGAATGGCATTATGATATGAATTAGATGAGAAAATATTGAGTTGTTCCAAAATCGTTCACTATTGACTTTTAAAGCCATGAAGGTTCTTGTCACATAAATTTAATTTCCAGGAGTCATTATTTATGAGTAACTGAATAAATCAAAACTTACCGGCATAACGCTTGCGGTAAAGACGAAATTATGGGTCCATATCCTTGCGCATTATCATACAGCTCAAACAGAGGTGCAGCTACTAGCTTGTAGTTTTTAGGGACAGCAAAGAGTGCTAGAAAATAAAGACATGCCATGATTAATAAAGATTCATAGATTTTTGCATAATTAAGAGAGGTTCAGTAGAGGTAAGCTAAATATTAGCATATATATAAGCATTGACAGATATTCGTGGACTTAAAATTGCACGAATCATTATTTTTTAAACATAATTAAGTATTTTGAAGTGTTTTTTTTATAATTTCTCTTTTTTTTGTCACATAGTTTGAATTATTGATAATTATATTATTTGATTTAGCTCATAATTTTTTTAAAAATATACATTTGTGATGATAAACTCAATACTCAATAACTTTTATCACATTATTATTTTTTTTTTGAAATAAATTATATAAATTCATTTGTATTATCTTTGTTTATCTATAAATGGAGAAAAGAATAGGAACAATTAGTCAAGTCAGAATGTGCATGATGATATAAAATCAGTACAAATTAATTCTGAATTTTAATTAAGGTTCCATTTTGTTTGTTGTCTAAATATAAATCTAGGACTGTACAATTCAGTGAAAAAATCAGCAGAGTATATAAACAATGATAAGAAGATAATTAATGAGAAAAAATTAAGAATATGAAAAATTTGACTTTTTGTAACAACATTAATATTGTACATATGAGAATTAAATCAGTACAATTTTTTTTGTTCATTTCTAATTATTATTAATTAAGTTACATCGCCGATGCTGTCCTCAAACATAACAATTCTAATCTACTTTGACTATTTGAAAATTAAGAAGTTCAATTTAGTTCAGAGTTTCTCAAACAGGCTCAATCTTTAAATTTGATAAATGGGGAAACTAAGTTGGTTTATGGCTCCTTAAAATATATCATATAGACTCTGATTGCATAAGTGTTTGGCATCATGAATGAACGACTTAAATCCTTCAACACATACTAAAGGGATGTCGTTCATTTATGACTAGGTTCAGTTAATATACTTGTGTATTTTTTCAGTAGCTACTTTGTCTTAAGAAAGAGAGACAAGAGGTCATTCACTTATTACGTATATAGTTCAAGAAGTCTGACAATTTAATGCAGAACCTCAATAAAGAGGCAGTTTGAGGACCACTGAATACAAACATAGTTAATAGAAATTGTTAAAAAGTTGAGTTTGTTTTTTTATGTTTAAGGTAAAGCCGGCAATATGTTTTTAACAAATTATTCTCTTTTCATTACCCTTTTCCTGTAGTTGCACTAAAAATAAACGTTTATGTTCCTTCGGTTTCTGCAAATTGAAGAATTGAGTTGTTCAGATGGTTATAAATCAGTTGGTTTGTTCGATTGAATCTACAAATTCTATCTTCATTCGGTCAAGCGTCATTAGAAGCACAATTATTGTATTTCAGTCATGTCTCTTGAGTCGAATGGATGTGAATTTATAAAGTCAATCGAATTAGTTTCCAGAGTATTGTGTTAGATGAATTTATGTTGGAAGATACTTAAACGGTTATGTGCGGTGGGCAGTATGGATATGTTGGTGGCTCAAAGTTCGGTCTAAACCAATTTCCTATGGTATCCTCAACGATCCACTCGTGTGATTTAACTCCTGTCGGCTGGCCTAAAGTCTTTTAAAAATTGAAATTTTTTGTTTGTTTTTATGGATACAATTAGGCATTTTCAAAACATGACTTTTTTTTCGTTTTAGATAATATAAGTAACAAATTTTAAAAACTATAATTCTTACTGTTTTTGTTTGTTATGTGCTTTTTTTTTGTTCTTTTCATTATCAGAAAAAAATCATCGGATACAGATTCATATCAGTTTTGATAATAATATAAAAGGTAGACATTAGCATGAATAATTATGAATGTACATATATCATAACATGTTTTCTTTTGATTGTCGTCTGTATCATAAAACAGTTAAGTATACAACTTATGAAAAAACATCATCATCATTACATAGTTTGATAGTAGTAGATAGACAGAGCATAAATAATAATTTCACAGAAATCACAAAGTTATGATGGAATTACAAAAACAAGTTTATAAAAAATTTTCTGTGAATTTTAAACTTTCTTAACATTTTAGAGAAGCATAATTATTTTGGATTATAATGCAATAATTTATAATTATAGTTTTTATAATGCAGCAAGTATTTTTTTTATCAGAAAAATAAGACTAAAAACAAGAAATCACTAATACAAAAAGTATTGAAGACAATAAAACTTTTCTAACTTACTTCTGTCAAAAGTCTCTTTAGTCCTTCTACTTCATCCTCGCCTGCATTGAGCTCTCCGCCTGGCAATTTGAAGAAAGTCGTTCCTAACTGAATATAAAGACATTCGTCCTTGATTACACAATCACTAATTTGTATGTTATTCTAGTAAAAAGTACCTGTAAAAGGAGGACATGCGGCAATCCATGTTCGTGGACTAGCAAGCAAGCTTCTACTGATCTCCTCATCCCAATTTTCTCAAATTCATCTCTCATTCGCTGAAATCTAGCCGGAACTGATGGATCTTTTTCAAACAATGGCTCTTTTGTTCCAAATGTATAATTTGTCAGAGGATATCTATACACATACATAATATATTAGTTTGCTGATTATATACAGTATGAGATAAAGTATACTTACAGATTTATGGTTCTGTTGAGAGTTAAGGACTGACTTATTGGAACCTTTATGGATGTTGTATCAGTTGTACTGTTTGATCGTTTGGGCCAACCAGCTCCTTTTGCAAATGTCAATTTATTAATCAGTAAGTTAATTTATTTTTGTTTTAGCACAATTTATTGCTCTTACCTGACATTTTGTTTTTTTTTATAATTTTTCTTTTTTGCACTTTTTATGATGATTTATAAAGGCTTTTTTGTCTTAAACTGTCTGATTACAATACCTTGGATGTTCTATTTCACTTTGGCACTAATTTTATGCTCACTTAATCACTTTTTACCTTATATTTTAATTAAAGTTTATAAAAATTGAAAAATAAAACTCGAGAAGCGGTTTTTTAATGGGGTTTGTGATAAATAACGTCTTGGTAATTAGATCATCTGATTTGGTGATAATTGAGTATTTTTTGAGAGAAACTTTGAGGCTACCGTGAAGAATTCATTTAAAAACTTTCCAAAACAATAGAAATTGTAAGTTAATTATTATCAACATAGAGTTTATTAATATTCTTGTGACGTTATTTACGAACAATCCCAAGCTGAAAATCAATTCAAAGTCAAATGTTGTGAAAATTATGTGGTTTTTATTTGGACATTCCAGTATTTGAATACAGAATATTCGTTAGAAAGAGACAAATCCTTAAAATCATAATGTATGCTGAAAATGCATTTTGATAGTTTAATTAAGCTTTCACTTAGCGCTTTCCTCTTCCTCTTGGTCCACCTCGTCCACGTGGTCCACCACGACCTATAAAACAAGCAATAAAACATTTAAAATGAATAAGGAATAAAAGATGTAACAAGTTCAACACACCTCTTGACTGTCCTCTTCCCCGGGTTCCCATTTTTGTGTCCTTTTTCTTATTCTTGGACTTTGGTGCTTCATCAATAAGCATTGTTTCAAGAGGCAAAGAATCTGGAAGAATAAAGTATCGGATGTTGTTTCCTCGGATGCTAAGCGATTCCAACTGTACTGGATTTCTGTTTTTGATCGTCATTTTGACAGCTTTGAGGTGTGTATTCATGGCAACATCTTTAAAGTTTAATTAAGTTAATAAATTAACCTTTTTCTATGAACTTTCATCATTTATTATCTTACCAACTCCAGTGACAGTTCCGTGGACTTGTGTACCATTTTTCAGCTCTATCGTAACCGTCTCATGACTTAATTTCATCAAAAATCTAGAGTTAAATAAATTTTCACCATAAACGTTTGTAAACAAAAATTAATTGCGCAAAAATGACCAAAATCCTCAAGTTCCTTATTAATGCACAATATTAAACAGTCCTTTGTTATGCTTACCTTACTAATTTCATGCTGAAATACCTTAATTATTACTGGAAATTGATTAAAATTAAATTTTTAATATTTTCAGCGGTGTTTTCTGATTGTTTATTTGTGTGTGTGATACGTTTATAGGAGGTCCTCGATTTGAATAACGTTAATTTTGTAAAGTTTTTTAAAATCCTTCAACGTTATTTAAATCGAGAACCCCTTGCACTCAACTAGCGCTAGATCAGAAAATTCATGTTTAAGACATTTTCATACAAAAAACATTGATTCATGAAGAAATATATCATGATGAAATCTTAAAAGCGATTGAGAATTGTGAATTAATTCATGCTGATTCTGGCAATAATCAGGTAGAATTTTTTGCGCAAGGGAGGGGGTCCAAGTTTTAATAATTGTTGACGATCAATATAATTCAAATGAAAAAGTAAAGTTATTCAAGTCAAAGACACCTATTTGCAAAAAAAAAAGATTTTCCTGGATCTTATAAAATTTAAATTTACTTAATTATAGTATAGCAAGGATAGTTTTAAAAGTATTTATTATTCATATGGAATTAAAAAGTATTGATTAGTGATAAATTCAGTGTAAAGGAATTAAATCTAGGCAGTGTTTGAATATGCATTGAAAAAAAAATATTGATCAAAAAATGTCAGCGACAATTCATGTAAAAGTAAGTTAAATATTTGCGAATCTATTGTTTTATGACTTGTTGCATCCATTGGACATTATATAAATGCTGATTGACTTGTTAGAGACACGATTTTGAAGAGAAACAAAAAGTGCGATAAAATGACGTCATAAATTAAATGAAATTAGATAATATAATACACACATATTAATTAATATGCTTCACTTTTAGTTGCAATAAAAGGTTTACAAAGCATGAGTGCAATCAATTCAAATTCCGATAGTGAAAATTACAATAATATTTCGAGCTCATCAACATCAACCTTTGAGTTTATTGAAGGAAGTATCTATGCAAGTGACATTTCGACTAGCTTTAGATCGAATCGACCAATAATATGGTCATCGACAAAGGAGGAAAAACAGAAGCATAACGAAGAAATCGCTGTCATGGACTCAAATTTCGAGCCTTCATCATCATGGGAGAAAATTGAAGCTTCAGACGTACAAAAAGAAGAGTTGGAAGCATGTAGAAATTTTTTAACAAACGAGAGATCATTCAACAGCCATGGAATTTCACGTCCGAGTACATCTGCTAAACCGTGTTTTATTGATGCATCATCGTTACTAGATGATGATGACTACATTCCCGTACCATTTCCTAGAACTACAAAGATTGAGTCATCTACGAACAACAGGCATGACACTACATCATTTATGTCTTGCGACGAAAATATGCATAGAAATGAGTCAAGAAATCATGAAATTAAGGATCAATATTCTGCTATACAAACGCATCATCACATTCCAAGAAATTATAGACCAAATAATACTAACATTAGTAGCAGTAGAGAGCAGCATGATGAATATGAGAAGCATCAAGGTCGTTTAATCTTCCAAAACAATAATGTACAACAAAGGGTCATGGTAAGCGAGGATTATGCAAGTGATATTTCATTTCCAAGCGAATACTCGTCAGGTTCAATAGGTGGAACATACAATAATTTAGCTTATGACACAACAAGTGGATATTCAGGATCCGCAAACTACTCTCGAATACCATCCGACGTCGAATCAATGACATTTCCTGAAACTCCATTTAACTCGATAGTTCAACTTGCTAAAAAACTTGAAGTATGTTCTATAGACAATAATTTCGATGAGGATAATGAGGAATTAAAAAGAAGCGCATCATCTCCCGTTCAAATCCCTAAAAGAATTATGTTACATGACGAATCAGCACCAATTTTATCTGGTGGAGCGTCAGTTAATGATTTTATACCAAAACATTGCGAAAGTCCATCAATTCGTCGAAAAACTGATTCCTGTCCGATTGTTTCTGGTGGATCTATGGATATTGAGGAAGAACCTTGTCAAAAGCCTGAAAAGAATGAAAGTGATAAGGATAAATTGTCATATTCGTGGGTCGTTGACTTAAGTAGCAATAATTCACAGATTGATGAAGGTTCGGGCTGTAATAGTAGACAAGAATTTGATGAACATCATACGCCATCGAAAACTTCAAGTTCTTCGACCCCTAAAAATTCTCTTGGATTTTATGTGGATTTTAGCAGCTTAGAGCCACTTCCAGAAGATACAAAAGCAATTGCGGCAGCAAAGAAAAAAGACGATTTACGTAAACAATCTCTTAAGAAGTCTACTGGCTTTTTTGTTGATTTTTCATCCTCTTCCGATACATCAGTTCCAAATACTCCAAAACAAAATGCATGTTCAAATACGGAAGATAATGCTAATGATAAGAGACGTGAGTCAGTAAGCAGTGATAAAAGTACTAATATGTTTAATATGTTTGTTGATTTTGAAAGCACCACAACTAGTGAGTCAACAACTGATAAGGTCGTTGAGGAACCGGTTAGTTCCATAAAAAATGATAGTAATGTTGATGATATTACAAATGTTGAAACATCTTCGACCGTTGTTGCTAGTTCGTCTAAGAAAGGATGCTTTATGTTTATTGAAAACGATTGTCATGTTGTAAAACATCGAAAAACAATACCAAAGGAACCATCAAAGCGACATTCATGGAATGTACAAACTAATGAATTTGATGACATAAATATGAAAAATAACACAAAAGTTTACCAAAGGTCAACTAGTGTAACGAGTAACGATGAGAAATTCATTCCATCTTCTCTGCCAGCCGTATATTCAAAAACATCAAGCATGTCTATTGGCAGTTCCATATCTCCACACGAAGATTTTTCATGTTCTAAATCATTAAGTTCACGTTCAAATTTGTCGATTTCAACATCAAATACGAGCATAGATAATAGTGAAACAAAAGTACAACAGTGCAATGATTTGGAAAGAAATTTATTAAAGAAGCGACGAAAGGAGGCAAAAATCAATGAAACATACGATAAGAGTAGTCAAGGCTCAGTTACAGATGAAATTTTTTCAAACGAAGATAATCGCACCTCCTCTGATACGGACGATGATCTTACGTTCCAAAATCCTAAAGACGATAACAACACAGAACAAACGGAATTTGATTTGAACAGAAGAGAATCTACTTTGTTGGAAGACATAAAAGTTAAAATGGATACGATTGTTGAGACATCTGAAAATTCATCGCCATTCAAAAAGGCAGTCAATGATGAAAAGACAAGTGATAATTGGTCTAACAATGATTTAAAGTTAGATCAACCAATATACACGATGGAATCACTTCAGCAGCTAATTGAAAAGCAAAAGCAGATTTTAGAAAATGTTGCAGAACCACCAATAATGTCCTCACCACCATCCTCACCTTTTGTGAAGCTATCTGATCTCGATAAACCTACAATTAAAAAGGATTATCCAATGATGACGACATCTGCTGGTTTCAGGACATCAATGGATAGTCATCAAAAATATCATTCATCTCCAAATGACATTAAGACAATGTCACGTTCTACTGGAACTAACATAATCAATTTAGCATCATCTGTTGAAAACTCTAAAAGTCTTAGTCGTCTATTTCCACATTTATCAAAAGGTACTAAATGATTTAAAATAATTATTATGTCTTATATAAACGCATGTCTATCACAGTTTTTAGTAGCAGCGTTCCTAGCAATGTTGGATTTAATATAAGCTCTATGGATCAAAGTCTTTATGAATATATTGAATTTATTTCCTCTGATTTTTCCTGCACATCAAGTATCAACTCTAGTAGATCTGGAATGGGTAAGATAAAACTTGACAATAATTTAATAGCTTACGTGCTAATACCTTGTGTCTATTCTTTGGAATTTCTATTTAGAATCCGCAGATGAGTCATCGATTTCGTGTCGACAGCCAAGAAGGTTGGGCGAAGATTTATTGAAAATGTTTCTACAAGAAATAGGCACAGATGTAGTCATTGATGTGGATGGACGGAACATTAAAGCACATAAAATTATACTCTCATCAAGATGCCAATACTTTGCAGGAATTCTAGCTGGAAAATGGATTGAAAATACTGGAAATATAATTTCATTAACTGGATATTCGTACAATACAGTTCATTTTGCTTTATGTCACGTTTATTCTGGTTGGTTTTATTATTTATGATTGAATCTACAGAATTTATAAATGCATTGATTTTCACCCATATTTAGGAGCCGCACATGTTCCAACTGGCTTAGATTTAATAGAATTAGCGTCACTTTCTGATTGTCTTGGATTGGAAGGTTTAAAGGAAGTCTGTGGATATGCGTTAAAGACAAATTATTGTCATAATTTTCATAAGGTATGTTCATTTTCATGTAAATTAACTAGTTCCCTGAAGTATGACAGAGAAGTTGAGAGTTAAACTCAACTAGTATTAAGTCATATATTAATTAACACTTTTCTCTTAATTAACAGCCTTGTTCTGGATGTATTGATGGAATTGTACAAGTTCTATCCGTGACTTTAGACCATGGATTTGATGATTTATACAGAAAATGCTTAAAATGGTTATGTAAGAATTTTTGCAAAGTCTGGGTTACTAGGTCTTTTGGGAATCTAAATTTCGATTTAAAGCTCCGCTGCTCGCAACAAATAGTAGGTGCACATTTTACGTCAGAAAGTGTTCTTAATTGGTTATTAGATTGTGACGAAGTGTTGGAAACGCTCCATAAATCGAGATGGGAGAATTTTGAGACACAGAATGTCGTGGAAATAATTTTGGAAGCCGCACATGAATACATTTTAGACCATTTTTCAAGTTTAATTGCATCTGATAGTTTTTTGTCGTTGGGACATGATAGAAAGGATGACATTCCAAAATTAGAGCATTACATTCTAAAAGCAGCCACATCATTGTCACCAGATCAAGCATGTAAGAGCTATCCAAGAGCTGTTCGTTTGAATGCATTATTAAATGCAAAATTGATTAAATTTCCAAGTCCATTATCGAATGACAGTTTTAAGCCACAATTTGATCACATTCAGTTAAGAGATGAAGACGAGGACATTGAATGGAATGATGATTTTATTAAATTAGTAAGCGCTTTGTTGAGTGCTGTTGAGCAAAGCTTGATTCGACAATGTGGAAAGGCTATGAAATGTTCAGCATGGCTGAGAATGGATGGTGATTTAAGAAGTAAGATACAGAAAATTGCATGTGTTACTGAGAACGATGATATGAGACGAAATTTGAGATCGAGCGTTTCAAGTTTAGGAAGTGCTACGTCAGCAACAACAAATCGTGCCAATGATTTAAGGCAAGTTAAATTGGCTATTCAAGCACATAAACTTTTGCATGAAAATCACGTTTATGCTAATAAAACTCATCCTCCACCAAAACGACCACAAACACAGAAGGAAGTTAAAATATCTGCAGCTAAGCATATCCTCAAGACAACAAAAATACACCAGCCAGTTCGTGATATTTCCGTTTCTAATTCTCAAAAACAATTAATTCCTGACGATAAATCTCAGAATAATGAAGTAAAGAGTAAATTTACATCCATTAAAGCACGATACATGGAACCAAAAAAGATTCGAACATTATCGGAAATTCCAGTAAAAACAAACAGAAAAATGTCATCAAGTGAGAATTCAAGAGATTCATCGCCAGCATTTAACAAGAAAAAGCACTTTGATACTGTCAAGAAAGCTTCGAATTTATCGTTGGACAGTCTACAATCTCCATTAAAGGCTAAGAGGACTGCACAACATAATTATCCAATTCCGAAAAAAGATTCTGAAATGTCAATGGATTCATTAAGTGAATCATTAAGGAGCACATCCAAAACAGGTAGAACATCGTCAGAATCATTAATCAAAAGAACAAGTTTGAATGAAAAAGATAGTGCAAGAAGTTCTGCGAGACTGTCAAAAGGAATTAACACAAAACAATCTACAAACAATCAGAATCAGGTTGTACAGCAACAGAGGAGCTTTTTATCGCAGAAATCTCGCGAAATTTTAGCAAAACGATCTCAACAAGCCACCAGAAAGCTTTCAACTAACTCCAATTCAAGTATTGCAACAAAATCCACAAAATCATCGTCACCAAGAATGTTTTTACCAATCAACAAGTCACACTCGACGACTGCCGTCATCACAAGTAATAAAAAAGTCTTTAATACAACATTACATTTGCGAAAGACATCCAAACTTCCCGAGCCAATTGAAACATTCAAAACTACCAATAATTTAAATAATAACAATAAAAATAAGAATCTGAAGAAGGAAGTTGCGTCAGTGAAGCTGCTTAAAGAGAAGGAAAAGGAAAATGACATTAAGAGAGGATCTATAAAGAAGTCAAATAAATTGGACGAGATTATTCATACAGCCGATCCATTGTCCATTGAGGAATCATATGAAGTCAAAATGGCAAGATCCAATACCTTTAGCAAAGAAGCACCTGATAATCCTATTGAATTGTTAAAAACTATGAATTAAATCGCATTTATATGTAGTGGATTTAATTTTTCATATACTTTTTAATTGCTATGTGGACATTCTTTTGCTACTATTGTCCTAGATATAAAGATGTGTTCATGCATGCAGGAATCATGAATTTAAGGCACATTGGCACTCAAAACTGGAACAGATTTTTGTAAAATTTATATTAAATTTGTAAGGAATTGGGAAGTTTTTATATTTGCAAAAATGAAAAGGTGATGAAGGAGCAATGTATGATGAGGATCTATATCACAAGCATGACATATTAATTAGAGTAAATTTGACAAATCAAAAATTTTAAGCGCATTTTCTCGATTATAAAAACCGTTATTTTTTAACTGCTGGTTATTGAATTTTTTGGCTGTTTTCAAAAATGTTTTAACCGCTATTTTTTTATAGACTTTTTTCCGTTATTTTTTAAATCGTTATTCTGCTTATTCTTTTAAAAATAACATGAGTCTTATTAAGTTCGAGGTTTAATATTTGAAAATAATGCGCTTTCGACCACGTCTATTAAAATTTTGTATGAACACATCAACATGTCTTGGCACTTATCTACAACAAAAAACTTAATATTATGAATCAAATGATATGGTTATATCCATATATAGATCTACGTGATAACAACATTAATGTTTGTTTCAAACATAAAAAAAAATCTAGTCAATATTCAATATTTATTCCAATTTATTCCATTCTTAACTTGAAATGGGTGGTAAATGTATAGGAAGCATGACATTTAGTTATCTTACTGTGCATTAATTAGGACATAAGAAAATTGAAATATATTACTAAATAGTATTAAATGCTTGCTATTTTTTCTCTCCCCAAACTTTTTGTATTGCATTGATTGTCAAATTATATATTGTAGTATTTTATTCAGTAGATGCATTTTTTTTTAATTTCATAATAATTATTATGAATAAACTTTACTTTTTGGGAAATCTCAAAAAATAAAAATCTTATATTTGAATCCTATAAATTAAGCACAAACAGACTTTTTATTGCCGTTAGAAAAATATTTAAAATTGTTCCTGTTTTTCCTCAATTTCCTTTATTTCCTTCATGTAGTATGCCCCGCGAAAAAAGGAAATTGAATCCATAAATGACGTCCATTGAAAGTTGAATTTTCATACCTTCAACATCCTTTGTCATTTTCAAGCAAACAATAAAATCATATGGAGTCACAAATCCACTTCCTCCCCATACCAAAATATACCGTCATTTCTGAACGCCGCCCGTGAAAATAAAGAAAAGATAATAAAGAATTTTCCATATCATGGCTGTGAAAGTTAATCAGTTTCTTGGAATTATCTTTGGAATTTTATCAAGTCTTTGTTTTAGTCTCTGTTCTGTGATTGCCAAATATCTAATTGAGATATCACCAGTTGAATTGACTTTGTACAGGTGCTTATCGAAAATTATGTTTGCAGCATAAATTTTTCCTTTTGTTCATCAAAATTTTTTCTTCCATTAGATTTATAGGAATTTTCCTACCCTCCTTATCGATAGCAATTTACAGAAGTGAGAATGTTTTTCCGGACGATAAACGCGATAAGATTGCCTTATTTTTGAGATGTTTCATCGGAACGACTGGATTAATGTTGAATTTTTATGCTGTTCAAAATATGAACTTGGGTGACAGGTGAGAATGAATTGGATATACACAAATTTGTTTTGAGCATGTTGTTTGTGACAGTCTAGTTTAGTGTTGCTTAAGTCATGTGGTGCGACACATTTACACTGTGTCACAACAGTTGTACATTAGTGTTACACCAGTCCATTTAAAAACCAACAGAGACTTACATCTTCCTTTTAATTTATTTTCCAGCTCTGTCATAATTTACTCAACGCCCGTCTTTGTTGCCATATTCTCGAAAATATTTCTCAACGAACCATGCTCACTTTTTAATTGCTTCAACATTGCATTGTCAATGGTCGGAATTGTGTTCATCATACAGCCAAATTCTCTATTTAATCATAATTCAACGTCATCGACGTCAACATTATGGGGACCAGTTGCAGCTATTTTATCAGCAATCTTCGGTTCCAACGTTATCATTATTTTAAGAATTTTAAAGCATTTACATCACTCAGTTATCATGAGTAATACAGGCATTTTTGCTATCCTTTATACATTAATTGTGCTGATGATAATGAACGAATTTTGTAGTCCTTGCTCATTTAAGGAACGAGTTTTAATTGTTGGATTGGCTGTATTCAGTTATTTTGGTCAGATGCTGTTGACGGTATCTTTACAGTATGAGGAACCGAATGTCGTATCCATGACACGTTCAACAATCGTTTTGTTTTCATTCATATGGCAAATTTTATTTTTTAATGAAATCCTCTCGGCATCATCACTTTTTGGAGCATTCCTAATCATTTTGTCCAACTTTTTGAATGCATTTTTAGCTGTATCGAAGCAAAAGTATTTATCCAACAAATTCTTAAGACTAATACAATTTTAAGGTATAAGGAATGCTTTATGTGTTATTTAGTGTCCAAGATTGAGTCATGTGAGGGAAACAATAATACAATAAAAATCGCATTTTGTCTCTAAACATTATTTTTCTTATTTATCTCTTGATTTTTTCTGTTTTAATTATATTGAATTAATTTTAATCAGTCACATGGACCAATTTTAACAGTGATTTTTTTTTAAAATTTCAAAACTGTCAAAATAAATTCAAATTAATACATCCAACTTGGTTGTTTTTCCCCTGATTACAAAAATTTTCAGCATAATACAAATAATATAAAAAATATTGAAATTAGTGAAAAGATGGCTAATAGGAAAGGAGAAAAGAATGAAGATGGCACAGAGGTAAGCTTAGCTATATATCCGCAAAGATCCATGATATTGAAATCAAGTTAAAACATAAAAATTCTTATGGCCACATCATCAATACATTTTTTGCCAATAACAATAATGAAAGCTGATAAAACGCCGCAAATGCCCTAATGTTTTACCTTTAAAGCATATAAATCCAATGAATATCTATATCAATTGGCATTTAATGTATTACAGCTGATTAATAGCCAGCTTTAAGCACATCCAATAACATCCAGTAATGATAAATTAATAATCCACAGGTCGTGCAAATAAACAAATGGGATGGATCTCAAGTGAAGCATGCGATTGATGATGCCTTCAAGAATGCATTGATGGAAAGGCAAAATTGCAGAGAACATTTTGGAATCATTGATGGACGACTTATCATTTGTTTCCTTGCTGTCGGCATTGCACTTTTTGCTTTGGCTTATGACTACATCTATACATTCCCAACATCCAGGTAAGCTAGCTATACTGTTTACGTAGACAGTTAATTATTGTGTAACGTTGTAGGCCTATCCTGATCATTTGTGTATCATCATACTTTGTGCTGATGGGAATTTTGACAGTCTACACGACATACATTGAGAAAGGAATCTTTGCTGTTGCCATTCAGAGCGATAGTAACGGAAACACACTCAGAAAGTGGACAGCAAGTTCGGATATGAAAAAGTATGATGATAAATATTCAATAACTTTAAGTGTTAAGGATGCAAAGAGTGCTGTACGTGAAATCTCGTCGACCAAGACCTGCGCAAACTACATTGACGTTGATGGTGTTATTTGCCATGATTTAATCTCTGCTGAATTAAAACGACTGTATAATTCCTTAAATAGTGCTGATAAGAAGGATAAATAGCTCCTGATTTAATGAACAAGTCTAAGTTCCAATTAAAATTATTTCTTATGTCCGTTTTTATAATTCAGTGTAAGTCATTTATTTCAAAATTATTATGGTAATAAAGATGAATACACTTAATTTAACTTATATAATTTAAAGTAACTTACAAAAAAAATATTTATATTTTTACGATTTCCTAAGCCAAACAGGACGATTTAATATCTTTACTTTATTATACTCGTCACAAGCTTTTGTAGCATCCTCTTCAGTATTGAAATTTATGCAGGCATTTCCAGTGGGCTGTCCAAAATCATTATAACGTCTAATTATCTGATCAGCTTTCAACTCAAATTCACGAAATTCATCAAGAATGTCATCAATAGAAGCACGATAGCATAAATTGGATACCATTACTACACATCCAGGATTTCCAAAGTCTGCTGGAGGTGCCCAATCTCTATTTTGATTTTGTGGACGATCTCGATTTTGTTGTCTACTATCATCATTTCCAAAGGAGCTAAGTACAGCCTCAACTTGCTCACGAGGAATTGGCAAGATTTGCACTCGATTTGGTCCCAATTGCTGATTGTTCTTGCTTATAGCTTTTTGGATGTCATTTTCATATTTAAACTCTACAAAACAATCACCGCATGGTTGACCTAAATTGGATACATAAATGTAAACTTTAACATGTTTTGTGGATATTATAAGGATTATAGGAACTTACCTCGTTTATCCAGCAAGATGTGTGTTCGCATTTGACTCTTTTGGATATTTATATCAGCAAAGAATTTCTCGACATCCTCAATCGAACTTTGAAGGTCCAAGTTTTTAATTAAAATACAATCCGTCTTGAAATTCGTTGTCTGTGGACTAGAAGAGTTTGAATTTGGTCTATCATTGTTTGATGCTTTTTGTCGTGGATCACGTGAAACTGGTTTCTTTTTGTCCTCTTGATCAACATTTGAAGTACTCTGTTCTGAATTTTCTGGTGATTTTTCTGCCTTCTTGTCATCATTGCTTTTAATTTCGTCTGCAAATTCTGGATTGTCAAATTTACCATACTTCTTTGCAATGTCATCATACTGTGCCTCAGCTCCTTTCTCAACAAAAACTCTCTTATTTCTAATGTAATGAAGGAAGCGATTTTCAATGACTGCCTTTGCTGCTTCATGTGTTCTAAACTTACAATATGCTGTATATTTATCAATTGTAATGCCTAAAATATCAGGAAAAGCTTCAAATAAATCTGCCTCATTTTTGTCAGGAATATCGTCAATAACCAGGACATTAAAGTTCTCGTCCGGAATATATTCAATTTTTTCTTCTGCTTCATTGCCTCTAAAATTACGATTCCTGCCGCTATCATTATCACGACGAGATTCTCGTCGATTATTATTGAAATTACCATTTCCATTATTTCTATTGGCAGGTCCATTACTTCCTCGATCTCTATCCCTTTCAAATCGATCATTATTGTTATTGGTGCTGTTATATCTATTTGTCTGATAATTATTATTATTATGATTATTTCTGTTGTTAAAGTTATTGTTCATGCCTCGACTTCGCATATCATTTCTATCACTACGATCATTTCTGTCATAATTCCTTTCGCGACTATCACTTCTGTCACGGAATCTATCTCGTCTTGAATCATCATAATTATCTCGTCTATTATTATCCCTTTTATAATTATCTCGATTTGAACGAGCTCGAGAACTATCCAAGCCATTCTCAAAGTCATCTTCACTTATAGACGTAATCATAATCTGTGTGGATTTCAATTGCCATCCATTTTTAGTCAATGATTGCTTCATAGAATCGGACGTTATAAATCGAATTAAAGCCACTCCTGTATGGTCTCCATTTTCATCAGTTAAGAATTTAATGTCATTATTTCCAATTGCTAAGCCACCAAAAAACTTACGGACATCCGAATATGTTGTTTCTTTATCAATATTAGCGACTTTTATGCATTTTCCAACCCCTCCAATTCCACTAGAATTATTTGTGCTGCTGCTGCTATTATATGCATTAGGCTGAAACTGAGTATAAGTATTTAGGTTCAATGGAGGTGGAACATCCCAAATATTATTAGGTAGTTTTGTATTACTAGCAACAGGATTTAAACTAACATTCGACATGCTGCTCATATTCAGATCTAACAGTGACTGCGGCTTTGGATTATTTAAAGCAACTGGATTTGGCTGAATTAATGGTGGAATATGTTGCAAAAGTGGATTGTTTGTGCTTGTATAGCCTGCCTTTTCTGGAGAGCTAAATCGTGTACGTCGCTTTTTGTCTTTCTTATCATCGCTGTCATATCGTGACGACGACATTGGACTTCTTGATCGTTGTCTTTCCCTGCTCGAACTTCTTTGATATCTGTTATAATCATTGTGTTGCTTCTGTTGCATTGGAAGTTCCACTCTCTTATCCTTATTATATAAATCTCTCAACTTATTAGCATCAATTGGATAATTTGCAGTTGCATTTGCCATATTCATGTAGCTCAAATAGTCAGCTGGTGTAGCAGACATCATATTTGCATATAAGGGATTTGCATACATAGCTAATTGAGGATTTGTGGCTAAAGAAATTTGAGGAGCCGTAGCTTGACTTAAAATTGACTCTTTTGAAGCTTTCATTTGGAAGTTATTCATCATTGGAACGACTGTTGATGCAGAATGTTGTAAATAATTGGCCATAAGTGATTGTGATGCATTTGGAATAACATTCGTGATAATCGGAGCTTCAGGCAATTTCTTATTGACAAATTGATTCGTGAATGCTTCAGCTGACGGAAGTTGCATTTTAGTTGGCATGAATGCTGTAGCTGCACGCGCTTTTTCTATGACTTTTTGCATTTCAGCTCGAGATGATAACAACAACGTGACTTTGACTTCTTTTAATTTGCCACCATTAAGTGCCATAGCTTGGCGTGCGTCTTCGTCAGAGCTTTATATGGAAATTTTTATAAAAATTTGTTAAACAAGGAAGATATTGAGAGTTTTTTTCTTTTTATGGGTGTCTCGTGAACAACAGAAATTGTCTATGCTTAGAAACTCGATGAGGTCCCATAATGATCCAAACGTTTTATTAGAATCTCTTATGATTATAATGAAAATGGCTGAAAATCATCAAGCAACACTTGATTATTGACTAATTTTTTTCCGGTGTTGGAATTATTATTCAGAGGAGCAGAAAAGATAAATGACTGCCTTATTATTTCTAATTTATTTTAGCTTATTTTGAAATTTTCGAACATAATTCTGATTTTTGTCTTGAAAAGAATTTTTAATAATATTCAACTGAAGTATCTGATAGCTATAATCCTGCTCAACAACCAATTTCCTATGCCTGTAATCTAGGGATCGGTTTTCGTCTTAACATTTTAGCTCATTGGATTATCAGAAGGTTTTACTATGATTTTTAAATTTCAAGAAGAGTTTTAAGTCAAACTTATAATCAATCTACCGACCGATTACACTAAAGTGGAATATCCACAAAAGTTTTGCTTTTTGAAAATATCTTAAAAGATTTTGAAAACGTTGATATTTACAATTTTGGTTTATGATGAAGTGGATTAGGCATGAACATTTTATATGCTTTGGGGCCATTCACTTATTACGTAACGCTTTTAGGGGGAGGGGGGGGTCTAAGATTTTGTTACGGTTCAAACAAGGAAATTTTTTTTTCATACAAATTTTGTTACGAGGGGGGGGGTCTAAGAAGTCATTTTTTCGCGTTACGTAATAAGTGAACAGCCCCTTTGAGATCTTGTCATTTCCTAATGAATGATTATTCACCTTCTTGGAAAATCTAGTAGATTAATTGTAATATTAGAATTGTAATTTCTCCCACTATTAAAAACTTTAAGCTTCTGAAAAATTCTTAAAAAGTAATCCAACATTTAGGATAATCCATTTAAGTATATTGGTCCGTTTGAGACCATAACTCAAATTTTAGAGTTTATGTAAAAAATATTTTTTTCTTGATGGTCAAAATTTCGATCTTAAAATTTTTAAAAGTGCTCATTCCAGAATCAAGCAAAGTTTCGTGGATCAAAGTTGAAATTGAAATAAATCCCTAGAATTGAAATTTTACTAAGATCTTTAAATTACACATAAATTTATCAGCTCAAGATGTTACCTTTTATAAAGCATGACAAGAATAAATTTGAAGGATATTATTTTCAGCACATAATAACAATGTTTAGTCTATGGATAACCCCAAAAGAGTTTATAAATTTCTGAAATGCGTTACAGATTCAATAAAGATAACAAGTATGTAGCATGAGACATTTAACGAGAATTCCAGGACATTTCTGAAACATTCGTAGATTTGCGCCCATAAATGTAATGTTTAAAATATAAAAAGAGTATATACCTGAATGCGATAAAAGCATCGCCATTCTCGCCTCCAACGATATGCACTCCACCTTCAGGAATTTGAAGACCTTTAAAATACTGTCTAATATCAGACGCATTTGCTGACCAAGGAAGATTTTGAAGTCGTATGATTACATTCATTTTGCCGTTGATTTTATTTATATTTAATTATTAATTAATAAGCTTGAAACTTAGCTTGACAATAAATTATTCTGGAAGTAAAAGATATAAATAAACATGATGAGGAAAAGTGCGTGCCTTGATTTTAAAAAAAAATATATATATTTAATTGATTGGGCGGAAATTATTGATATCAAATTCCTGAAATAGTGTTCTTCATTAATATTATAAAAATAAAAGTAGGTATATCTACTTATGATCATTATGCAACACTAGCTCATTTCCTTCCTCAACTTTGTGTGCATTTCTTCATTTTTTTTTTTCATTACCACTGATGACATTACTTGTAGTCATCTAACATTGTATGGTGCACACATGTCTTTCCTTTAGTGTCTTAAACAGGAATGATTAGATTTTTGCAAAATACATATGCATTATAAATTGTAAACAGCATGCCAAGTAGTTGCGGACGCAGTGAAAGCACAAATGTGATTTTTTCTTATTTATAAATAACAAATTCACATGACAATCTCGGTTTAGTCGGTTTTAAAATCAATTGGCAATAACATTCGGTTTATTGAGCATTAATCGCATCATCAATTTCATTCATTCATTCGTACGGACTGAAAAAAGTATGTTTAAAAAGCACATATTATGGATTATGCTGTTTCATTGTTCTCAACAAATAAGTTCTGACGATGAGTCTGATAAGACAAAACGCGAAGTGTGGTCTGGTGGACGATTTAATACATTTAGTGCTGATAAGAATGACAAGTCAATGTCGCCATTCTCACAAGTTTTTTCAGCCATTGAAAGTTTAGGATTAAAATTTAATGGAGATGTTAAATCAACGGTCGAATTTTGGCCACCGGATATGGATCGAGATAAGTTTTATAAAATGAGGGAAGAAGAATCTGCATTTCCATTTGCATCGTGGTTTAATTTTAAGCCGTTAGTGAAAGAAACAAAAGAGCCTGAAATTTCATATCCAATTATTGTTAATGACTATGCTGAAAGTACGGTTAAACAATTAAATAATGATAATTATAGCACTAAGAGCTTAAAGGATTATACAACTAAGCCTGACGTTATCAGGAATCCACAAAAATATTTTAAACATGAACATTATACTGTTAAACCTGAGATTCATGACATTGAATTTGATCACAACTATTTTTTAAGCACTGCTAAGCCTGAAGTCATTGATAATGTCAAGTATTATAAAAGTACTATAAAGAGACCTGAGCTGGGTTATGAAAAGAATAATTTTAAAAGTGAAGTTATTTATGAAAGTAGCTATGTTAAAAGTACTGAAAAGCCGTTTATTAGCAGTGTTGTAGAATATGAAAATGCTGTAGTAAGTCCAACACCGTTGAATGATTATTCGCCAACGGAGCAGACAGTTAATACCGACGATGTAATAATAAATAACACTGGACCAGTAATGTTTCCAAATATCGGATTGACAGAGAAGAGGACACATGAGTTTATTACTTTTGTCCCAACAACAGCCACAAGTCCGCGAGCTAATAAAAAGCGGAAATTAAAAAAGAAAGTAAAAACTTCTTCTATTACACAATTGAGTCAGGAAAAGCATAATATCATTCAAGCCCCACCAACAGCATTGGCATTTGATGTAATTGCAGAAACTAGTTCCGAATATACGCCAATAAAAGAAATCATTGACAATGATTCTGTGCATTATACTGATATAATAAATAACTTGTCGAATTTAACTGAATTATCATTTAGTTCTTTTAATGGCACTGGAAATAATCCTCAATTTACACAGCAATCTGATCATCAAAAATCTATTAAAAATATTATTTATAGCAGTAAAATTAATCATTCGACGACTCCGTATACATTTATAATTAAAGTTGAGCCTGAAACTCAAGATGATGATATTAAAATGTTAAGTAGCACTACGGAGATTCCAGTAGTGACATTGTCATCATCACGTCCGATTGATATGAAAAAGTTGGAATTGCCAAAGGATTCCTTAAAAGCAGCTGAGAAGAAAATAAAGGAGACCGTGAATAATGACATGTCAAATTTTAAGATTATTGTTGAAAGCAGTAGTCCAATGAGCACGATCTCAAATAGCATAGATGAAAAGTATTTTACGACTACTGTATCGACTGCAAAAAATCTTAATCGTTCCAGATTTGGCATTAGAAATTTCAAACCTAGAGTTCAGTCACAAGCTGTGAGGAATGTAACATCCTCAACAGCTGCATCTGTAGCCAGTACGACTGTAAAGAGTATATCGAAGAGAATTAGATCATCCATAAGTACCCGACATCAAGTGTCAACATCGTCAGAAAAACCTATAAATGATTCCATGATGAATGTCAAATCGACTGCAAAATATTATACTCCAAAGTCAAGAACCCGTCATCAAAATAGCAGAATTAAGCAGAGTACGACCAAGTCGTCATCATTAGCAACGAAATTAACAACATTTAGGACTAAAATTCGCAGAACTACTAAAAAATAATCAGTTTTTTTGCTTTAATTAACGATTTTTTATGTGCAATATTAACTTATGTTTTGTATGTTATGTATTTTTAAAATAAAACGTCTCATGTAATGACCAGATTTACTTCTATTTTTTTCTTGACTGTATTAGTGCAGTCTTTGTCTACAAATACACTCACATTTTTTCATACTATTTTAATTACAGCATACGATATCCAATCTTTAACTTGAGCATTTTAAAATTTTATTAAATGATTTCAAGTCCTGATTTAATTGTTTTTATTGATATTTTACACAGTTTTCAGGCAATTATTATCGATTTAAACATTTTTTTTCCTTAAATGCTACACTCATTTTTTCATTCGATGATTTATCCTTTAAAACTCAACTTACCACTCTCGATTTAATGCTTTATCCTTCACAACACAATTAATTTTGAAAATGTGATGTTTTCTGCCTCAATTTCTCTCTGATAATGACTTAATTTAATTAAAAGTATTTTCAGCAAAAAATGGCTGTTTTCTATGTTACTTTGAACTTTCTCAATATTTCAAATATTTTTTGATCGTTATGAATAGAATGATTTTTGAACTTTCTTTTGTTTACAAATCTTTTTACTATATTATAGTGTAATCAGTTATAAAATGTCTCAGGATATTGAAAATTTAATACCTACAAGTAACATAGTTAAGCAAAATGATTGTGTGAGAGTAATTAATAAGCGCAAGAATGCAGAATTCACAGAAACAAATATTGAATGCATAAGAGTTTTCAATTCCATTAATAATCAAGTGCAGTATCAAAACAATAATATTCGACAGGCTGTATGCTTAACAATTGAGGATATAAAAAGATCTAGTCAAGAACAAAGCTGCTGGAAGTTCCATAATATCAGTTATAGAAATGTCTTAATATACGGGAAGATTGTGATACAAAACGAAACATCCAGAGACAATAGATCATTTTATACACTAATTATAGACGACGAGACTGAAAGTATTGATGGATATTTAAATAAATACAATCCAAAGACACAAGATCAAAGTGATATGAGAATAAATGCGATTGCTAAAGGAAAATCGACTTTAGAGAGACGAAAGGAAACTGGAATTAAATTAAATGGACAGTATTATCCATCAGAATCGGAAGAATGCCAATCAGTTATTAGTAATCTTAAGAAACTACAAATTATGGTGGAAAAGAATTTAAAGAGCAGTGAGAGAAAGTTCCAATTAGGTCCATTAAAACAAAAAGCGCTAGTTTATGGAACTCCAATTATGAGATATGACTCAATTCGACTGAATATCTTTGATATATCATTGGATGACGAGTTGGATCTAGTTTGGAAGCAAAATATTAATAGATTGTATAGTGAAATGTACTTTAAGTAAAGAATAAAACTGATTTATTTCCTATTACTTTTTTTTTTTATTTAATTCCTTGAAAAGTCCAATTGTGTGCATATGAATGCAAAAAGGGAAACTTTACATACATGTTATTATTCGTAGATAAAAATCCGTAAATGAAATATAGTTGAAAATTTTGACAAATGTTGTTCGGAAGTTTAATATTAATGCAAAAATAATAAAAATATGAGCCAAGACATTTAATTGGTCTTTGCACGGATTGCAGCACGTTTGCTGGTAACTGCTTGAAAACCAGATTTGATGCTCGCTACTGAGCATCTTGAACCACAAGACTCACACTGTAAGAAGAAGAGACGGGTATCTTTCTGTAATATTGTTTCGGGTGATCTGCAGGTGTGGCATGTTACATATTCCTTAATATATCTATAAAAATAATTCAAATTACGTCTTAGTAAAGCTATAAATAAGTTTAAATTATTTATGTTCAATTTTACCTTCTTAAAACATTCTCAATCTGTTTCGATTGGAAACGCCCCTTGATAATGAGTTGTGAATTACCGTCAACGGAACCGCTCGTACCCAACTCGGCTAATAAGAAGTCAAGAAGATGTTTGGGTTGTCGATGGAGAGCTTTGCAAATCTCAGTAAAGTTGGCAAATGATGTCTTTTTTGTTCCAACTCGAAGAACTTGAGGAGGTCTCATGACAAATTTAGGTTTTCGACCAGCTGCCATATCTGGATTCTTTTCAAGGATAATTTCAAATACCCGATTTAGCAATTCATCGTATGTATAGTCACGATCAGATCCCAGCCATTGATTTGTGTTGTTTTCATCCACTAAAACAGTCAGGATTACATAGGAAAATTTTAGTACACATACAGGTAGATATAGAAGATTATAAATGAGATTGGTGGACATAAGAAGCTACTACCTATTTCTGTATCAACAATTCCTCCGTCGTTATCGGAAAGACATGTATTTCAATGACAAAATTTTATAAACTTTTTGCTCACGATTTCATAATTAGACATAAAAGTTACAAAATAGGGCAACAACTTACCATTTTCATTGTCTTCCTCATTTTCTATGCTTTTGAGAAGTTCATTAATATCCTTCTTTTTTTTCTTTTTCTTAATTTGACCAACATCAAATGTATCATCAATGTTTTCATCATCATCTTCAGGCAAAGCCGGCTGATCATCATTGACTTCCGTTAGTGCTGTATCGACACTTTCCAAAGTTATTGGTTTTTTCACTTTCTTCTTCTTTTTCTTTCCAAATGTCTCTATATCGAAATCATTTTCAATATTTATACAATCAGCATTCTCGATTGCTCTTTCTTCAGCTTCAGATAATAATGATGCTGTTGTTGTTGTTGTTGCTGCTGGGGCACTGGAACTGCTTTCATCTGCCAACGCAGCATCTAAATCAAAAGTAGTCTTCTTCTTTTTCTTCTTTTTAACTAAAGATGGGTCAAAAATCTAGATAATAAAAGCACAAATAGACAATAAAAACATTAATTCATCTATAAAATATTGTTGAAAATGACTTAAAACCATGTGCCAAATATATAGCCACAAAATCCATAATTCTCGTCATTTTTTGATCTTTCTTATACTTACAGCATCATCTTCTTCCATTGTTGTCTTGTTTTCTCGATTACTTCACTTGAAATGATTTGTAAATGCTTAATTAATTTAAAAATATAAATGTTTCTGCTTCGAGAAAAAAATAGCAATATTTTTGAATTCACATGTACTACGTTTTTATGTGACGGAAAGTCACGAAACTTTTAAGGGGTGTCAACTTGATTGTTATGAAACTTTATTTTAATTAATTTTAACTGAAAATCAACAGATTCATACTTTAATTCATCACTATTCGTTCATGTAAAGTATGCATAATGCTATGTTAATTAAATTAAGTTGATATGTTTTAAAAATCATAATTTGCTGTAACGGTTTTTAAAATTTGAAAGACTCGAGTACTTAGTTGCATTCCTCTGATTCGCCTTATAAACAACAGAATATTAATTTAATGTAATTTACTAGTTAATTAAGTATATTTAACCATTTTTATTATGGATCTGAAGTGCCTTAGGAGTATATTTTACTTTGTACTATTTGGTAAGTTATCAAATTGCGTGAAAAGAGATTAAAAGTGAAATATTTAAATTTTTGGGCGTGACAACAAAATAATTCGGTTTAAAATCAATCTTCCAGGAATCTCATTGTCGCAACATAGTTTTGATGAGCATAAATCTGATTCGTTAATATGGTGCACAATATCTGACGAGGAACAATATAAATGCCAAAATTTCACAGTTGCACTGGAACGTGATAAAGCAATGTTTGATGAAGATTTAATGGATCTAAAGTGTATTAAAGGATACGATACTGATGAATGCATTAAAAAGATTGATCATGAAAAGGCTCACATTATGTCATTGGATGCTGGAGAAGTTTTTGTTGCCGGTCGATATTTCTCACTCATTCCAATTATGCAGGAAACTCTTGAAGGCGGTCTATCCAATTATTATGCAGTCGCTGTTATCAAGAAAGGCTCATTACCAGACGTACATCATATAAGAAATTTAAGGAACAAGAAGGCATGTTTTGCATACGTTGGTTCTCAAGCTGGCTGGAATATTCCAATTTATACTGTAAGTTAAACTTGCTATGACTCATCAATTGACATTAATTTAAATGATTTATCTACAGCTGATGAATGAAGGACATATGGAAGTTGTTGACTGCAATAATCACGTCAAGAATGCAATTAATTTCTTTGGAAAGTCTTGTGCAGTTAATTCTCTAATTGACAAATACAATCCAATTGGTGATAACTCTGATAAGTAAGTAGACTTGTGCCTTAAAATTGATTTCATCAGTTTCTAAAAGGATTATCCTTATTTCAGGCTGTGTCAATTGTGTACTGGAAAAGTTCCTGGTGGATGGTGTAATTCAGCAGATCCATACATTGGTTTTGAAGGAGCATTTACATGTTTGATGGAAGCAGGAGAAGTCGCATTTTTAAAGCACACAACTGTTAGTGAAATGCTTGCAACTAAATTTAAGCAGGTCGAAGAAGATCACCTCGAATTATTGTGCAAAAATGGTGAAAGAATGCCTGTAAGTGAATACTTGCAATGTAATTGGGGAATGGTTCCATCGAATGCCTTAGTGACATCATCAGCAAGATCACTTGAAGACCGAAAACGATATCAACGATTCCTGCAATCAGCAGTTAAGCATTATTCTCGTAAAAGAGCCTTGGATCAAAGTACAACGACTAATCGATATAATAGATTCGATAATAGGAACCGCTTTAATGACGATCCTTTTGGATTCTCCTCAACAACAACAAATGTTCCATTAAATGATTCAGTACTGTATGAAAGCTTTCAACTTTTTGAATCGAGTCGGTATGGCAGACGATTAAATTTGATGTTTCAGGTAAAAAAAAATGACAATTCGACCTAGTCTTCGTACCTTATTAAATGACATTTTAATTATTTTAGGACTCAACTCATGGCTTAGATTCGTTAGAAGAACAAAAACAGACATTCAAGACATATCTTGGGGATCATGAGAAAATCATTTATGATATTCGTCAATGTCCAGTTGGTAGAATGACTATGTGCGTCACATCAGATGCAGAGTACGAGAAATGTGTTAAAATGAGGGTAAGATGATAATTATATTTCCACTTTATTTCTCGAAATGATTTTAAAACTATTTATTTTATAGACTGCCTTGAAAGCCCAACTTGTTAAGCCTGAAATGCTTTGCCATAAAGCTCACAGCCACATCAGTTGCATGCAATCGATTCAAAATGGAATAGCTGATGTTATTGTTTTAGATGCGGCTGATGTCTATACTGCTGGATTGAAATATGACTTGATTCCGTTCATGTCTGAAGTCTATAATTTAGGCGAACCTGAATATTATGTGGTAGCAGTTTCAAAAGTTGAAGATCCAACGACTGAATTGACATATTTGAAGAATAAATACACTTGTCATTCAGGAATTAATACAGCAGCTGGCTGGATTTATCCAATGGCTTATTTAATTTCAAATGGTTGGATTCGACCTTATGGATGTGACAGTATGAGAGCAGCTGCTGAATATTTTACAAAAAGTTGCATTCCTGGTGCAATTAGTAATGAATATAATATTGGAGTGCCTTATGATAATATGTGCGATTTATGTCACGGAGCAAGTTATCGATATTGTCGTAGAGATGCATCCGAAGATTATTATGGACATACTGGAGCTTTTAGATGTCTTGTTGAAGGTGGTGGACATGTTGCTTTTGTTAAGCATACGACAGTTTTTGAGAATACGGGAGGAAAGCGCAAAGAATGGTGGGCACGAGATGCACTGGATGATGATTTTGAATTGCTCTGTCCTGATGGTACACGTAATAAAATAACTGATTATAAGCATTGTAATCTAGGCAAGGTTAAATCAAATGCAATTGTAACAAGAGGAGGCGCAGGATATAATCAGAAAGAAATTGATGCTTATATAAATCTATTCGTGTATGCTCAACAGTATTATGGACGAAAAACACCTGATGATTTCAGTTTCAGCATGTTCTATTCCGTTCCACCATATCATGACTTAATATTCCAAGATTCAACTCGACAACTTACAATCATTCCAACAAATCAACGAAGATGGGACTTATACTTAGGATCTGACTTTTTGAGGGCTCGACGAATCACCGATTGTGACTCTGGAGCTAATATTTTACGTACTCATTTTATTTTGACTTTATCACTGATATTCTTAACATCCCAAACTATCTTTTAGCTAATAGTATTTTGTAATTGAATCCGTCCCAAAAATCCATTTAGAATTAGTATATGTTAATGTTAATGCCGTCCAAAATTTTTGACAAATTTTATTGAATTTTTATATGCTGACAAAAAAGAATAATTAATAAAGAATTGAGATTTTTTTAAAATAAATTTAAGCTGATCTTTTAAATTTATATCCAGCAATTAAAACAGTGCCCAAATTGAGTACCGGATTTTAACGGTTTTTAAAAATTCAAATATAAGGCTAGTGAGTCACGCTGTTGTAGAATTTCCCAAACAAACAAAAAATGCAAAACAGAATTGGATAATTTTTTAAGTTTTTTATTAATTAAAGTGCCTTTTAATAACTAGAATGAGTGTTTACTATTAAATGTTTACCTGTTTTTCTTTTCCAGTAAAATTTAAGGTAAGAATTGTGGCTAGAAAGGTCAAAAAAATGTGAAAACTTAATATTATTTTTTATATTTTAGAAAAAGAGTGCTGAAAAATCATTATTAACATAAAATGGGTTGGAAATTCTTGTGTTGTGTAGCACCAGAACGCTCAAAGAAACGTACTGGATCATTAGAGACATCCCTTGACTTTTCCCGATGTAATTTGACGGAGATTCCAATGATTGAAGACAATATTGATGTTTTGACAGACATAGACTTTTCATATAACAAAATTACAGAACTGGATCCTATTCTGATGAGAGCCAAAAACCTGAGAGTATTGAATTTGTCTGATAATCAGTTACGACATATTCCAGAGCAACTTTCTAGTGCCTTTAAGAATTTAAAAGTTATAAATGTCTCGCATAACTTAATGACGGAGATTCCAACATTCTTCAATGCGAATTTCACACATTTACATACAATAGATCTAAGTAATAATCCAATCAACAAGATTCTTGATGGGACAATAACTGATCTCGTTTCATTGAAAGAGCTGAGACTTAATGCTTGCAATCTCAACTTTTTACCAGCAAATATAGCGAAATTAGTGAATCTAGAAAGTCTAGAGCTGCGTGAGAATTATCTTGAATCACTTCCACTATCGATTAAAATGTTAACTAAGCTTCATCTACTGGACATTGGGAGAAACAATTTTGAGGAGCTACCAGCTGAACTTGGATATTTATTTAACATTCAGGAACTTATCGTTGACGAAAACAATTTAATGGATCTAAGCGTTGTATCAGAATTAATTAATTTAAAACATTTGGATATTAGCAATAATAATTTAATACAATTTCCCGAAGAAGTGACTAAATGCTCAATGCTTGAGACGTTGTATGGCGATGGAAATGAATTTGAAATTTTACCAGATAGCATAGAGAATTTAAAGAAACTCACAAGACTTAATCTCAATTATGTACGATTAAAGCACTTGACAAACTCAATTGGATTTTGTCAATCACTCGAGGAGCTGAATATTCATGAAAACTTTTTAGAATACTTGCCATCGTCAATTGGCTTCTTGCGGAATCTAAAAACACTTGTGGCCTATGAGAATCGTTTAATGCAATTGCCAAATGAATTAGCGTCGTGTGTAAACTTGATACTGCTGAATGTAGCAAATAACAAGTTGAAAAGGCTGCCTGATAACATTGGATATTTGAAGCAATTGAGAAGCTTGAATGTTATGGGAAATTATTTAATGTATCTTCCACTCTCATTGGATATGCTGCAAAATTTAGAAGGATTATGGTTGTCGCCATTTCAAGAAGGCATGAAAAAGCCAAATTTATCAAGAGTTGAATTAATGGACGGGATTGTCTTAACTTCGCCACTACTCGAACAGAATTATAAGCCAATCGATAATAAATCTATGAAAAGTAACTGTAAGATTCATTTTGAAATTAATAATGCACAATCTGATGATGATGAAGGAACAAGAAATGAACCAGAAAGAATTCGATCGCCAGAACATCATCACATCATCAGAATCCCAACACCAACACAACGAGAACGAAAGAGACTAGAGAAATTTGCACGCACAATTAGTGCTGAACGGAAAGATGTGACGAAAAATTTTGAGATTAAAGAGGCTCGTGTTGCATCAACATCCAGCAGTTATGCAAATGTACCGCGACAACGTCGTTCACTCGATCCTGAATATATAGAAATTAATAATACAAACGAGTTCAGACCACTTCCACCACCGTACATAATAGCTTGTCAATACAGCAAGATGAGTCAATCGGATATAGAAAATTTTCAGAAAATGAATAGAAATAGTATTAGTAACGATTATAATAATTCTAATCTACCTTTACTTTCGACAGCGAGGAACGATTTGGTGCAATGACGAGTGATCGAAAGTGATTATGATAAAAATAGTATTATGGGGTCATTCACTAAGTGATGGATATCCAATCTATATGACATTAGTGTACCGACCTCTATTATTATCATCCGAATTTAAGTATATAATCAGAAAAGTGCCTATATTAGTGTTTAATAATCATTAATGACGACAATAACTATGTGTCTTTTACCAAAAATTATTTTTGTGTTTATTGAAAAAAAGGAAGTATAGATGAAATAATATTTTTCATTCCAACATTCTTTTGAAAAAGGAAAAAAAAAACTTAATTGTAATTAAAACATTATTTTAACAGTTTTTATAAAAAGTTAAATGAATAATAAATAAATACAGGAAGAAGAACATTAATTACTTAATAAAATAATCTCATTTCTTAGGCAGCCCAGTTATCATTAAATCCATAAGCACTATCCGAGTCTGATTCATCTGATCCACGTTTATGTCTACTTTCAAGATTCGGCGTTGTTGGCATCGATTGACTTTGATTCATCGTATGCTCATTATGTTCTCGCTTTTGCTTCCGTTTCTTCACCGAATGCTTTGGGGGTCCCATCTCAATCTAAATGCATGCACAAGTAATTAATTGTGTTAGAAACATGAATAAATTAATCAAATTTTACAAAGATTTTAGTCAGGGGTGTAGAGGGGGGTTATATTATTCTATGGGTTAATATTTATATTACTTAACGAGTCATTTACTTTAATGTCCATTATTGATAAGGATAGGGAGTATAGGTTGTATTAAAATTTAATCCAGTGGTTCTCAAACTTTCTTAAGCGCTTCACAGTCAACTACTTATCATGTGTAAATTTGATGTGTTGCGATAAAGTTTGTGAGTGTGAGAGGGGGTTTGGGGTTGGAAAGCCCATTTTTGATGGATATCATAAGTAAATGACTCCCAATTACTTCTCTGTGACAGTCAAATATATAGATTTAAAATATAAATCCTCAGGATCTATAGAATATCTAGAATCGTTGAATTAAAATATATCTGGAGATTAAAGAGGTTTTGCAATATTGAAAATAGACGAAAGAGTGAAACTGTCTTAGAGCTGCCTTCATTTAATTTAAATCTTGTAAGTCACAGGGTTGGAAAACTAGTAAAAATATCAATTTAGATTGAATTCCTTGACAAGCCGAGTCAAAATCAGCGTATCGAGTTTTTCAACCCTGAGTCATAACAAGGAACAACATAAATTTATAAAATTACCGAATGTGGTAATGAAACATTGTCAACAGATCCATAATTTTTGTGTACTTTAATGTCAAGAGAGGAGGGTGGTTGCATGCTTGAGCGTTGAATAAAATTATGATTGTTGTGATGTCCTTTCGTATGTCCCAATAAATTCCCAATTCTTAATGATCCAATTCGCAGAAAACTGTCCTTTTCTGTTGGTTATTCATTTTCAAGGGATAAGTTTAGTAAGTTCCATGCGACATAATAAATATAAGTGAGAACAATGTTAATTGCATTTACCTGATACTTTCTTTCGTGATTTGATCTCTGAAAATTTTAATTAGATTATTTAACAACAAAAAAAAAGAGAAGAAGGAAGAGAGAAGAGAAAGAGACAGGAATTAATTTCAGCAGAATTAACGGATCTGTTCATTAAAGCTTCATGCATAGCTTTAAAAAAAAATCTTTTCTTAAGCATTTAGCGAATAATGTTTTATTCGGTGGACTAATTATGACACGAATTTCGTAGAAACAACACAAAAATTCCTCAGGAAACAAGTAATTAATTTTTTTCTACGAGTCCAACAACTTTTTTCATGTAGCTACCTTGTGTTTAGCATAGTACTTTAATTATGTTAATTATGACTGGTAATTTGTTGGTATTTGTAGTAAGTAAAAGCATGTATCGCGCGCCTCTTTTGCGCTTTCTTCTACGAGATTCATACATAAAAACCCTCGACTTGCCTCAACTCGGCAGGCAAGAAGCTAAGTAGCTGATACATAGGTGGTATAAAACAAACCAAATAAAGGTACATAAATGAATAATTAATGAAAGTGTTTTTGAGAATAATGATCTACGGATAGTCTTTTTAGTCCATTACTTATTGCTACAATATAAAATTGAGACATTTCCAGTGGCTTTTTAAAATAGAAATGAAAAATGAGAGTCTTTCAGCATTCATTAGGTTATGAGTTTGTTAATGTTGGTAATTTAGGATTAAATAAACTGCAAAATATTATTTTTTGTCGAGGTTGCTACCGACTGAGAGTTTTTGAATAGAATATGCCATGAAAGTATGGTTCTTTAAGTTCTGTCTCTTGTAATGTTAAGGGCTTGCAAGTGGATCTGATTTTACTATAAAATGTATGACTAAAGGTTATTGCAAAATAAATTCCACACTTTGATCTCAGCACTGAATCCCTAACTTCAAGTTATCAGTTCCTGCATTTATGATCCAAACATTTACCCACTAGAGCTTACGAGACATTTACTTTCATGGCACATAAGGACACATTTCTACAGTACGATGCACACATTATGATACAAAAGAATTAATTGAAATATCTTGTAGGTTAGGATAATCAGGAGAGGATCTATTTACTAAAAAGTATTTTGGTCTAATTTAAATCTTTAATTACAAAACTTCCTCATTAGCAATTCACCTTACTTCAATTAATGCCTCTGTGTTGAAATTATTTTAATTTTTTTCATCAAATTACTTTTCCTTCCGTTGCTAGTAAAAATATATATAGGTATGTAAGGTATAAATGTTAATTTTATTTTTATTTTAAAAATAATTATTAATTCTAAAAAATACATTTTGATCATTTCAAATGCTAATGTTTTCATTAAACAATAATTTTTTATTGTTACGACTTCATTATGTGTCAGTAAAAAGGTGTTTTTTAATACAGAGAAACAATTTGAAATTCTCAAAATAATTAAAATGCTTTAATGTGTTATGAAAAAGAGATATTCTTTAAGACGATTATGAATGAAAAGTGTAGAAAATATTTATTGTATTATTTCTTTAGTGTTAGAAAAGCTAATGCAGTCATTGACAAGGGATGGAAGCTTTAAGTTTAATTTTAAGGCAACCTAGATGCTTATGCATCATGCACAAATTACAATAAGGTTTGCAAATAGATCTCAATATGACTATCAGACTAAACAGACAGTATGCATGCTTTATTTGATGGGATGGTTACTTTTATAAGTATACGCATTTGTATTATATATATTCTCAAAAAAAAAATCGTGCTTACGGTTTAATGGATTTTAAAAGGATTCGCAAAACCTACAGCTTAAACGACTGTACTTGATTAATAATGTGTAAAGGGCCCAGCCTTTAACCTGGAGGCACTGCGATTCAAATTAGAACAGAATCTATTGTACCACACCCTTTAGACCTACAGTTTATAGTGGGATCCGAACCACTTGCAAGCTCTGCGCATTGCAAAGACACGAGTACGTCATAAGACCTGATGTGATCTGCAATGTACCTAGTCACAATTCGTGTGCGCAAGATGCCGTAAGGAAGTCATCCAGATGCTAGTATATCCTTGTATACCTAGCAAAGGAAACATATTCTGTGCCAATGACCTCAAAACTACACCCAACACACGAACCGAGCTTCGTAACTAGAACGTTGAAATGGAAAAAGAGCTTCAAAAATTACTAAATTAAATCTCCTAAGAATTTTACTCCCGATTCCTTGAAACTTCCAAAAATCCTAGCAAATTGATTAAATTTTGTCCTTATTTATTTATTGTCATATTCTTCCATAAGTCCGTATGTATCATATGAAACTGGTAATTATGATTATGTTTACGAACGCTTTGATATAATTTATAGTCAATCATGAATAGTGCTATGTTATAAGGGGTTTTGAATGATCAAAATACTCTCATGCTTCACTTAAAAAAAGTAAATACCGAAAAACCCTCGGTGAAAAGTTTCCATCCCTAAGTTTCAAACTGCATGCATTATAGATAAGATTAATTTCTAAATTAAAAATGGCATTTTGAATGATGTTACTTGATATAATAATGAAATATAATAATTTGTTACGAAAGCTTCTTGTTTATTTCATCAAAGGTAAAGGCGAAAAAAGTGTTAGTGTTAATACATGTGATAATTAATAAGCATAAATCATATTCCAAACTATCAAACTACATCAATTAATTAATTTAATTTTAATTTTTTAATGCTTTTTGCTCTTTTTCAGGAAACTGGCACGAATGCGATTTTTACTTTTCCTTCTTGTTGTTGTATCAAAAATAGTCGAACCAGTTTCTTGATAAAGACTTTTAGTATCATCATTTTTAAATATGCTATGACTACTTCCATGCAAAGTACGATATGAGTCATTAAACATTTCCGAATGTCTTCGCTGGACGGATTTATTTGACTTTGCTGCTACCATCGGAAGTGTTTTATACTCACTGCTAAAGGAAAGCGCGGATATGCTTGTCAACTGTTTCTGATAATCCAATGGCTTCTTTCCCGACCAGTCTAAAATATCTCTGTCAGCTTCTGTATATTTTAGAGTTGAGGAATTGAAATAATTAAAATGTCATTAGATGTGCTGCGTTTATTGATTGTGAAGTCAGGGTTGGGTAGAGAGATTTATATCGTATATTCACTGAGATTGTGGCACGACACAGTAATGTCTGAGCTAGAGTATCGCAAATATTGATAATTGAGACTCGTTTACAGAGCAAGAAGGCTATCAGAGGTTCCTGGACTATATGATATTCAATGACAACAGCCAGTCAATAATTTATGATTTAAGAACAACCATGCCCTAAATTGTCACTCCTTTACCATCTCTAATATCTAGAAACAGTTTTACGGTGCAACGAAATCATAAATAAATATTGCAAAATAAGTCTCGCAAGTAGAAACCTCAAAAAACAGAATTTGATTGACAGGCGTAGCGATAAGTCATAAGAGTATGACATATGACTAAAATCGTCATTTATAGAACGATTTCTCACCTGACAATATTGAGCAATTAATGAGCAGAATGCGTATTTTAAAAATATTATAGATAAAAAAAAATATATGAATCATCAAAAGACACTTACTATAGACATTGCATAGCAGCTCGAATATATCATTTCTTCCACATTGCATCGCTATATGAAGAGACGTGTAACCCTTTAAAGAAATAAAAAGAACATAAAATTTTAGAAAAAAAAATTAGTCACATTTTTTAAAGTACATTACAACAACTGTGAAATGCAATAATAGCGATCATTTTAAATATTTCCTCTTCCTTACACCCCTTTTTCTATATGCTCTATGAGAACATGGTTGAATTGTAGAAATTGAATTTTCACACACATCATAATAATAGCAAAAATATGTTTTCAATATTTCATGTATGTTGTGCTCTATAAAATTACAATTTTTTAAAAAAAAAGTGTAAAATTTATATTTCGGGATCGTTCAATAGTGACGATTTTTAAACCCCCTCTCAAAAGGGAGGAACCGTTAACTACACTGCTTTGAGAAAATGTCAAGCTTCTGGTACAGTTACGAGAATATTTGTCGTCTATAATGGTGCCACTGAGACCTCTCACCCCCTAAAAGTTTGGCATCATTTATAAATGAACCCCATTGTAAGGTAGTGAATGGAAGCAAAGCGAAAAATTGATAAATTCACTCGAATATAAATATCTAAGGAAGGGATTGTGATATTATAAAGTGTAAATTTTACATGCGTCGTCATATTGAAAACTTTTTAATATCACTTTCTGATTTTTTTTCTATCTCGATTATTTCAATATATATATTTTTAATATTGCATAAAAGTTACAAGTTTTTTTTTATTATTTTCCAATTTAAAATTGCCATTTCTTAATGCCTTTAAAAATCAACATAAAAAATCATGTTGTAGATTCATGAATATTTAATGTGATTAAACATTTGAGTACCTTGTGCATAAATTTAAATAAATTTTACACAATAAAAAAGTATGATGACAATAAAATATATATCTATCAGCTGCATTTGCCATCAATAAGAGTTTGAAGTTTGCAATTATGGAGAGGATTGAGGATGAAGCTTTGTTGGATAAAATTTTACAAGGACTTTAAGGCTAGCAATTATAAAATTGGAGCTTTATAGGAATTTCTTTTTGAATGTTTCTTTAAATCTAAAGTTTTTGAATTAAAGCTTTATTTGTGAAGCAAAAAAACTTTCAAGGAAGAAGGTGTTTAACTCCAAAACCAAGGGAATCTGCACTTTACTCGACAATTAAGCTGAGATTTGAATTAATTAAGCTAAATAAGCCAGATTGAGACATTGTCATTAGTTAAATCGGGGTAAATCATGTCTGACATTGTCTAGCGGTCTTGAACGGCATTAACTATGTTTTGCTTGAGGGGATAGATTGAATGGTCTAATATTGTAAAAATTGACTAAACTGAACTTGACATTTACAATTTTCAACCGATTGTTTTTCTAAATGTTTTTTAAGGTGCAAAAAAAATGTAAAATTCTTAAATTGTAAAATTAAGTTTTAAAGTGAACTGAATAGTGTAAAGCAATTATCAAGGAATGTCAGCTTAACATACGGACTAGGAAGTTTTGCAAACCAGGTGTAAGAGCAAGCAGCAAAGAAAGATGCAAGTCTTTATTTGTAACCAGTGTTGCAAATGTAGATGTCAACACTAGATGAAGAATGTAGATTCTTCAATAGTTTTTGTCTAGCTAAGAAACTTTCTTCATAAAGATCGATTCTATATGAAGATAGAAAATCTAATCTACACAAAGATTCTGTCTACATAAAGATTCGATGTAGATGTCTACAATTCTACATTTTTTCCAGGTCTACATCAGAGAAGAATGTAGAATTGTAGACATCGAATCTTTATGTAGACAGATTCTTTATGTAGAAATAATCTTTGTGTAGATTAGATTTTCTATCTTCATGTAGAATCGATATTTATGAAGAAATTTCTGTCTCAGAATTTATGTGATCCAGACAAATGGAAAGAATGCAACACTGTTTGTAACCTAAGCTCCTGATAAAAACAAAGTTACAGTAATTTGGTGTCTGAGGAGTGTGGAATCTAGGGGTCGAGCCATATGTATGCGAATCTGCCAGTGCGACAAAGTCCTCTCTGACCAAGTGGATTAGACAACATACCAAATTCCAGAAATTCTCTTTTCTCAGAACGTGGGTTCGTTTTCCACTCTATTGCATAAAATGTTGTCGATATGGCAAAGATTCGTATAATTCTCACGACGTTACAAGTAAGGAAGTAAATGATATAAATGATTTTTCTTTATATCCTAATTAGGCATCTAAATTATTGATTTTAAATCTAATGCTAGCTCTTTTACGAGGTTTAAAACTTTAATCAAGGCAACTTAGTAGCTTTGTGCTACTAATTTTTCATGTTCCCAACTCAATTGACTTTTAAATTTTAAACATCCATAAAAATCACTTGAACACTGATTAGTTTGTTGCTTAAACATCATGTTTCGCTAATTATTGCATTTTTAAAAAATTACAGTTGCAAATTGATAATAAAATAAAAATATTGTAAATTTCACTTACACCGTTCTAAATTATACAAGATGATGTTGATGATGAGTTAAGGTACAGTTTTTGATGCATCGAAATTTTTTAATTCATTTACGAAACGAGATAAGGAAAGAAAAAACACAATAAATGCATGATAATAATTTATATTATTATATTTTTCACACACCGTTTGACAATTTACATCAGCTCTGAAAGTTCCAGCAATTAATTTCACAACATTTTCATTTCCATGCTTACTTGCCCAATGTAATGCAGTCTATAAAGGGAAAGAATAAGAAAGAAGAATCAAACGTGATGTTAAATATATAAAAAAAAAATAAAAATATAATTTAATTCAACATGATACTTACATACTGTTGCGAATCATTTGATGAAACATGAAAAATAGGAAGATAATAAGAAAAGAGAGCAAGAAAGAATCGTAATGAGTAACTAGCAAAACAAATATGATTAATGTAACTAGATAAGGGGGCTGTTTAATTGTTACGTTACGCATAAAAGGGACACTTCCCCACTCATTGTCGTTTAGAATTGACATTATATTGATTGAGGGTGTGTATTAAGTTTTAAAATTTTAGAAATCACTCAGATTTCAATTGCCAATATTGAAAAAATTCATTTTTCTCAGATGTCATTTATAAAAGGCCCCTAATGAAATGTTCTTAAATTAACAAACAATTTCGGATCAAGAGATAATCAGGAAGGACATTAATCGTCTGCTTGTTAAAAATTAGATGTTTCAGGACTTAAACAGAACTACTTAGTTCCTTTTGTATCCCTCAAATAAATAAATAAATAAATGAGGAAGGAAGAGGAGCAAATCGTATAATGACTACTCTTGTTACAAACTTATAATTTGATGATTTCGACTGAGCATTAACAGGAAGAACAAACGAAATTTGCAATAAGCATAAGAGAAATGTACTTGATATGTATGTGGCACACGGCAACAAGTAGCAATTTTTTAATGATAACAGAAAGTTTAATTCCTTTACTTTAATATTATTTTAGCAATATTTAAAATTTTCACATGTTTGCTATTAAAATTATCAGCTGCTGTCCCTCCCATTTATCATGTAAAACATTTTTTCGATAAAAAAGAAGAAAAATTAAGAGAATGAAAATAAAATTATAGTAATTTTCAAGGTGTTCGCGACGTTCTTTGGGTACTTGTGACCCTTTAACAGGTTTTGATAAATTAATAAATGGTAATATATAGGTTTTTGTATATGCACACACATTCGACCTAAAATTATCAGCTGAATAAAGTAATAACTTCTTTCTCCTCTGTTTTGTTTATTCTGATGGCACTCAAAAGACTTAAATGACAAGCTTCCACTCAAAGGTATGAATTAATTTGCCTACAGCTCGATCGCACGACGATCAATAGCCTCACTGACCATCTGTCTATAAAATGTAAGCTAATGATTATTTATATTGTGTTTCCTTAACCACCCAAAAGTCTCATTAATTTTTATTAATCACATTCGATCTTCACCCCGATATCAAGTAGCGATCTTTTAGAATATAAAGTAAGTGTATCGAAAAAAAAGAGCTTTTTAATTAAAATATTAATTGGGATAAATTTATCGAAACATTTTCTCTCTTCTGTGAATTCACGAATGAAGATTTGTCTCTTTCCTGCTTCGTTCACTTTTTTGTTGCCGCTACTTTGAATAAGCTTATGTATTTAGATCACTTTTACTGGCTGGATGAAAGATTATTCATAGAAGAACTGTTATGATTGTTATTTATAAGGGGAAATGTCCTAATTAATAGATGTTTCTGTCTGAAGGGAAGTCATATCACAGATATTAACTGAGACCGGTTTTTAGAGCAAATTGGGAGCTCATAGAATAAGAATGAAAGTTGGACTACAATAGGTTTGATTAAAATTTATCTGCTAGAAACTGACCCTGGTCTCAGAAAGAAGCACATCTACAAGCAGTTTAAGCAATCATCCGTCAAATGAGGACAGTGTTGCAAATGTAGATGTCTACACTAGATGAAGAATGTAGATTCTCCAATAGTTTTTGTCTAGCTAAGAAACTTTCTTCATAAAGATCGATTCTATATGAAGATAGAAAATCTAATCTACACAAAGATTCTGTCTACATAAAGATTCGATGTAGATGTCTACAATTCTACATTTTTTCCAGCTCTACATCAGAGAAGAATGTAGAATTGTAGACATCTACATCGAATCTTTATGTAGACAGAATCTTTATGTAGAAATAATCTTTGTGTAGATTAGATTTTCTATCTTCATGTAGAATCGATCTTTATGAAGAAATTTCTGTCTCAGAATTTATCTGATCCTGACAAACAGCCAGAATGCAACACTGAATGAGGATGTAGCTATTCGGTTTCAGACACTTCACAAAAGAAGATAAGATGATGCCTGGATTCGTTGTAATTTAAGTCAGTTTCTGATATCAAATCTAGGACTTAACAATCGTATAGTTATTACTAGGAGGAGATAAAATCTATGAAGCAACATCTGACGTCATTTAAACTTCAAACGCATTCAAGAATGCGCTCTTACTCTCTAGTTGCACTGAAACTTGTCAATTTATTCCTCACTCACTTATTTTCCTCATAGTGAAGAAAAAGAAATATGGATTAATTTTTTCTGGAGAAACCTTTAAGATCATTCTCAAAAATGTAACCAAAAAAAAAATAAAATAAATGAGAAACAGATTCAAGTTTTAATTTATGCGCACCTTTTAATGCTTAACAGAAGAAAGAGAGGCATGCAATGAAATATTTATCCCACTTTACGAAATATTTCCAATATATTTATATATTATTATATTCCACATATATGCATATACGTAAGAGACCCAGAAATCGGCTAATTAATTAACCAACATAATGACATCGAGCTTCTGGATTGTTTCAACATTCAAAGTATCTCCGTTGATCTTCTTTTTCATCAGCAATGCAGTAGGTGAATAATTGCTACCGTTTCGTGTGTGCAATGGTAAATATAAAATCACAAGATCATGATAAAGGCTCTCTTTTTATTTTATAAATTTATAAGCATTCGATGCATGTATAGGAATCTCATCTTATTAACAAAGTGTGTAAGAAAAACGAATTCCTTTATCTCTGTTCTCATTCTGTCCACTGAATTACTTTATAATGGATAGGAAGATGTCGAGTGGACGAATAAAACACAAATAATTGTATCGTGAATTTATATTTTTGTATTGAAACAATTACGATTCAATTTTTCTAAAAAGTAAAACAATTTATAAATGAATAAAAAAGGTGGAAGGAAAAGCAATTAAAATATTACTTCGTGAAAGATCACGTCCACCCAGCATGAACACTTAAAAAGAAAAGAACTATAATAAGCCCCAAACGGGCCAGCAAACTTTATCTAAAACAGAAAATTTGAAAAATTGAAACGTCGTTAATCTCTTAGCAACATCGTCCCCCTAAAGAAAGCCGAAGGCTTCTTTAATTGGTGCGCTCATGACGGCGCTTTCGTTTATTTGTTTTTGGTATTAAATTACCACTTGTGCATGTAGCTCTTGCTCTCAAAACGGTTCGCAAGTCTGTCTCCTCATCCGACTCGTCGTCAGTGAATTGATGGTGTTCATAGTGAAGACTAATTGTCGACTCGTTGTCACTACATGGGTTAACTACAGCTATGGTATTGATATTCTGGCTGGTTACCCCACTTGTGCCTGGCTGTTGATCTAGTTCTTCATTATTGGCATTTATTTGGATCATTAACTTATTTTCACGAGGCAACTTTGAAATCTCATCATTCAGCTCGCTTACATTAATGTCTATGTCTTTGAACTTAAATTTTTGCTCGGGAATGCACGAATGAACGTAGCCATAAGATCCAGAAGACGCTGGCATTATCGTGCGATCGCACAGTTTTGATGTCCACTTATTTGTTATGAACAAAATTTTTGTTGAATCCTGATGAATTCGGGATGAAAGCTTTAATATGCTCTTGGCACATTTTGGACCTGCTATCTGGATCGGTCGCGCCGGAAACGCTATTTTGGTCACATAACCTTTTCCCATTGACACAATGACTTGGGATTCGTTGTAATTTGTTGCAGAATGAGCAGCAAAATTGGTAGAGTACACGATCATTGCACGGGTAGCTCGTACCCCATCAAATGAAGTGCCTCTTATTGTTCGTATAGTTCCAAAACGCTCAAATATTTGGAAAATCTCAGATGCGCCTAAATTTGGAGGAATATTGTCAACCACGATGGTTCTCGTTCCTTGTGGATCTAAGAATTTCTCTTTTTCTTCTTGCGACAGGTTAAGCGTACTTTCAATCTCGACGCGTGCATCTAGTGCTACGTCGTCGTCGAAGAAGGAAGCTTTTATTAAGTCGCTCATATTTGTTACGTTGTTTTGTTTGGTATGAACTTTTTCTGAATCCAATACAAAATTACTCAATGTTTTTTGATTTGAATTCGCAGCGACCGTTAAACTTTTTAAATTTACAAAGGTCGTTACTTTTTCGTACTTTTCTTGTTCTGCTTCGCTATTTTGTAAACTAAAATCAAGCTTTGCTACTCGATATGCAGAACGACGTTCTAATACTTTCCCAGTGCTTAACTTAATGTCAACAACCCTCACCTTACTGTCGGGTCCTTTATACACTTTTGAAATAACTCCTCGAGGCCAATAAGCTGTACTTAAAGTTGGATCTAAATAAATTACAATGTCCCCAATTTTTAAGATGTTCGCCTTATTTCCTTTCTTGTTCCTTTTACCGACGGTTCGTGTTATTACAGGCGCATACTCTCGAACAAATCGACTTCTATATAATTGAACAAGCGCATTTATCCTCTCAGATGCTTTCAAATTTACCATACTACTCTTGGACAGCATATCCTTACTGCATCCTTCATCCAGCATGGGATAATTTTGGTATCCTTGCATCAAAAGATAAGGAGTTAATGGAATTTGATCCATTGGTGACACTGGCAAATCCGTTAGTGGACGGTTGTTCATGTTTGTCTCAATCTTTGCAAGAACTGCTTCAAAAGTTGTGCGTGGGACTGTAAATTTACCCAAAGATGCATCTAGTGCTCTCTTTGTGTCTCTTATTAATCTTTCCCATGTTCCTCCAAATTGTGGCGTATACGGAGGAGTGAAATGCCAATTAATTCTTTTCTCACTTAAGAAGTCTTGAGTGACTGAATTTTCCGATACCTCTTGAAGTGGAGTTAAGGTTCTGTCTTCGATCACCTTTGCTGCACCCGTAAAATTGCG